TTCCGGTCTTTTTTAACACTGAAGTTTAAATAATATAAATAATATAGTTTTTAATCTGATATCAGAGGCACGATAGTAGTCGCCAAGACGAACAAAAACGTACCCAGTCATTTAATGGTTATTTAACTACTTTTTATTTTAATAATAGCTATCTAATTTCTGTCAGCCCCTAAAATACTCCAATTTTTGTTTTATTTCTTCGTGGGCTATCAGTACGAGTTACCAGCTCTGTTTACCCCATCTATTCTTAGTCTACACAATAATTATGTGCATACGCAGCGACGTATATTTAGCTATCGGTACAAGTATTTCGAGCCAGTGTGTTGCTACTTGCGAGCAATGGATACTTATCTAGGTACATTTTTAACTTTATCACAAGCCTAATAAAGTTGGAAATCTGTTAAAATGGATTGGTGTAGGTTGATTTGCTGTTGTCCAGTTATTATTCTAATATTGTAGTCTGCTATTTATATGATAATGCTTGCCTACATGACATGGATATTTGCATTTTATGTGTAAGTTTATGTGGTTTAGATCTATTCCCGATATATGGTAATACAGTTGTCCTATTATCTCGATAGGTTGGACTGCCTCGTTGGCCGAGTGGTAGCATGTTCGATTCCCGGGTCGGGCAAAGTATTACTGGGTTTTTAAAAAATCTCAGTAGTAGCACGGAGTCTGGAATTATGCCCAGTATATGGCAATAGGCTGACTTTCTATTACATGGGACTCATAACATAAATAGTGGGTGTTACATTGTACAGTGGCATAATGTGCACCTCTGCCTACCCCTTCGGGGATAAAAGGCGTGATGTTATGTTGTATGTTGCATGTTGCAGTAGGTAATGGTAATGGTAAGCCCTGGACATGAAACCCAACTTCTAATAATACATAAAAAAAATTAAAATTCACCTCTCTTCTATACCGGCTACCCATGTATTGTGTCCACAGAATTAGAGGTATATAAACTATTAATAACCAATAATTTCAGAACTAACTGTATTATGTTATCCCCGTAAAGTAAATTAAATTTAATTAACTGCTCGCTCCCCGTGGCGACCCTCACCTAGTTGGGAACGAGCCAAAAATAACAAAATTCAAGTTTGTCGTTTTCAATGTAGTTTCCTGGTCATTTACTGTTGTATTCAGTATGCACTTGTCAAGAATATATTAAATTATTATCTTTTCCTGTATAAAGTTCAAGTAGTGTCAGTAACATTACCTTGTGACTTACAAGTATTTTAAAAATTTAACTGTAATCATTCTTATTTTAGAAACTATAACATTAACGTCGATTCCAAAGTCTGCATAATAATTATACCACCCGGTTCCGGCTTGAAACTAGTTGAGGATTCTTAAACAGTTTACATGATGCTTTTAAACTCCCAATATTTCTGTTATTGTATACCACTAACTGCGGTACTCAGAGACTAAGTGTGGGAGAGCCATGCTTCGGCACGAACGGGCCGACTCGACCGGAGTGATCACAGACGTCGACCGACGTGAAACAACGCTTGCGTTGTTTCGTCGTGTGAATGAGGTTACCTGAGGCCCAATTTTCCACCCCCCGTTCCCCAATCCCTGAATCTTCAACAATCCTTAAATTTCTAACCCCAAAAGGCCGGTAACGCACTTACGTAACGCCTCTGGTGTTCCGGGTATCCATGGGCGGCGTCGATTGCTTACCATCAGGTGATCGGTCTGCTCGTTTACCGGCTTATATCATAAAAAAGACGATTTTTTATACTAAGTGGTTGGTTAAGTAGCCACTGGAACAGAACTCTGACTATGGCTGTAAATCAATTGAAATAAAACGGGGATATATATTAAGTACTCAAGCCTACCTATTTTGAATCAGTAGTAGATACAATTAGTAGATAGTATCACTATATTGTTTTTATCAAACATACAATAATAGTGTTGTTGTGGAATGTAGCTGACATTCCATTCTATCTCGCAGAGCATTAATCTGTAGGATCAACTGTGGATCAACTGCTCCCAATATTTCGACGATACAGGCCAAATTGATAAGATACGGTGTGACGTCATATAAGTTTGTGTTATTGCGCTCGTCTCTTAAATTAGAGGCTTGAGGTGTGTGACGTTAATAATGATATAATGAAATAAGTGTTTAGCTAATTAAGATAAAGATTTAAACTAAGAAATTGTTCTTATTTCTATGAAATTGCTTGTTATTTAAGAAGGTTTTAATAATTATGAAGGTACCTGTGGTATGCCATATACATATTATACATATAGTTCTATGGAAATATTGGGAATCGTGTTTCCTGTTCGGTATTTGGTCATAAACTCGTCCGCTATAAAAATTGAACTAGTGAAACATTGACTGATTCACCTTGTAGTTTTCTGTGTACGTCTTAAAGGGTATAGGAAGCCATTTCGCAACATGCAATTTTGAAAATGTAAAAGATTGTTTACGTAATCTCCTTCTCTTTGTTTTGAAAATGTAAAGAAAGAAAGAAAGAAAAAACATTTATTTAGCACCAGGCACGATGCAGCATAAATAAAAAATAAAAAAAGACAATCAAGATGTGACAGTGACAATTTAAACAGAAGAATTAGAAGAACATTAACAGAAGTATGTAGTGTTTCTTTGAGTATGTTTATTTTCTTTTATTTTTTAATTATGCTACATCGAGGGGTTTGTCTTTCTGCGAATTTATGATGGATATCTTTAATCTGTAACTGGTCCGAGGTGGGAGCCTGGAGATCTGTCACACAGGGAATCCTAGTATGGACTCCAGGCTCTCACAAAGGAGTACATTGTTTGCATCTGATTATTGTATCTTATTTCTGTAAAATATCCTTTGTGTAGAGAGGTAATAAATAAAAAACTAAATTTAATTTAATTAATTTAATTTTATGATGAGTTTATGAACTTTTGCTCTAATCGAGGTCAATCCAGAAACAGGTAAAACATAAATTGCAGCTGTTAGACCAAAACAGGATAAGTATTCGTAACCAGACTAAACACATTAGAAATAAACACAAATTACTGACTGAAGAGCAGCATAAAAACGTGAGTCAAGCTGAGAATCTTACCTATTTCTGTCCTCGGAGGAGGAAATCCTACATTAAATAATTGGTCTATCCGTCTGTACGGCCTCAGGTCTGCGCGTACGGCCGGTAGTAATGATCTTACAATTATGTGCTTTAACATTTTGAGCACAGGTGTTGATTTGGTATAATCGTGTGTCATTTGTTATCTAGTTTAGATATTTAGGTAAGTGTCTAGTGTCTTCTTTGATGAGTAGTTGTTCTGCGTATGTGGCCTACAACGTAAAACTATTACACAGTTCTATAAGGTTTCACATACATATAAATACTAGTCTACCCGACAGACGTTGTCCTGCATATCCACTTGAATGTATAAACAAAAATTAATTAAAATTAGTTCAGCCGTTTAGGATAAATAACCTAGAAACCGACTGCAGCGCCATCTGCCGGGCTGATTTGTGAATCTAAACCATTCCCAGATCCCTTTGAACAAACACAAAAAATTTCAAAATCGGTCCAGTCGTTTGAGAGAAGTTCAGTGACATACACACTCACAGAAGATTATATACGTAAAGATATATATATATATATATATTATATTATATATAATATACAACATATTTTTTGTCCCACACCAGGATTTTCTCCTGTGTCGTAAGTTCACATAAAAGATTTGGCTATCTCTTCGGGAAATGACAGATATTTCTTAGGGTAAATATGAACAAGACTTGCGTCAAAGATAGCAGGCAACAAGTTTGCATCAGTACAACATTAATGTCAGCTATTAAACAGTAAATAGATATATTAGATACACATGGTACGAATCTCAGCCACATGGCGCGATCCGACCACAATGTGTGCCACAAATAAACATAAGTACATACATGTACAAATGTACATACGTAGCTATGAATAGATTATTCATGTAACCTAGTCAATGTTATTACATCTTTATTTTGTATCTAGCTTACGAAAGCATTTAACCGAAAATGGCCTTTATTTCAATTATGAAAGTCATTAAGTATATTAGCACATATTATATATAGTAGGTATACTAGCGACCCATGGCGGCTTTTCACGGGTGCAAAATGCATGTATTACCTATAGGTACATATAAACCTTCCATAAGAATATCTATTAAAAAAAAACCGCAACAAAATCCGTCGCGTAGTTTTAAAGATCTAAGCATACATAGGGACAGATAGACGGCGGATAGCGACTTTGTTATATATGTCGTAGGATAATTTGATACTTCGAATCTTCGCGGAAATCCTAGGGGTTTTGCGAAAACGCGGATAATTAGACATAGACGAAAAATTATCAAATCTTACTGGACAAAGTCAGGATTTTTGCGAAAATACTCGTTACTATAGTAAGATTTGATGTGTTCAACACTGATTGGCTACAATTTTGCTGGCTGACTTCTAATTGGTTCCTAGTTTGCCGATGATTAACTTCAAGTATTGTATCATAGAGTTATGAAGGTTTAGAATTATAGGTGAGAAAGGAAAATCACTAAATAGATTTTTATAAACTTTTTATTGAAAATTTTAGTATGTATGTTGTTTTCTACAGACAATAGGAGATCTCAGTCGTTGTAAAAAAATAATCCAATTTTAGGGTGTAATCCATAAATTGGATGAAACTGGTCGTTTAAGACGACGAAAAAACATTTAAGACGTCAACCAATCAGAGACGATCTCTTATTGGACGCGCTGACCGACCAATCAGCGTTCTTATTTCATAACAGCCAGCGTTTCATTTCGCAATCTTACTATAGTAACGAGTATTTTCGCAAAAATCCTGACTTTGTCCAGTAAGATTTGATAATTTTTCGTCTATGTCTAATTATCCGCGTTTTCGCAAAACCCCTAGGATTTCCGCGAAGATTCGAAGTATCAAATTATCCTACGACATATACATACTATGTAGTGATATTAAAGAAGGACCAAATTAAAACTACCCTTAACCGACGAGCGTGCATGAAAAGATTGATGACTGTTGATGAAGCGATAGAGGTATGTAAGGGTCGTAGCAATTGGCGTTCCATAGTCTCTACCTGTCGCGGAGAACCTAACCGGTAACCGGGGCTCCGGCTCGACGTGCAGGAGAAGGAACGGGGTGGTTTTTGGTCAGTAAGAGTCTGACACTCCCTCCCGCCTCACCCAGGCGGGAGCAGTCAAACGATGATTTCCCCCCCTTAAAAAAGTATTAACCCCCTTAAAAATAGTTAGAAGAATGTATGTACTTCTTTTAATGCTATATCAATATTTAATCAAGCAGTGATCACAATATTGTAAGGGGAGTCTGTATGCAATTTATTATCTTTAATACCCAGTTGTATGTTAATTTAAAATGAACAAACAGATGTCTATACCGATGTAACTGGAAAACATACAACAAAATAACTATAATAGTTCTTATTTATATTCTTTATGAAAAGCTTATTAGCTTATTAAAATTTTTTGATAGGTCACAAAAGGTGATAAGTGGTTCATACTGTCACTGTTATTAATAACGACAATTTCCACTGAGATTTAATTGCATTAGATATAATAGAATAAATTAAATATAATAGAATAAATTGAATTGTTTGAAAAACTTAACTTTCTGTTTGTCTACAGGTCTCAGTATGGGTTCTGACGGTATACCTCGTGTTCCACGTGCCCCTCATAGAGATGAGGGTTGATGACTTCGAGCAGCAGGCACTGGCTCAGGCCAGAGAGGTATGTACTTAACCTGCAATTTAAGACAATATAAACATCAACGTTGCTGACCAGACTTGGCGGGAGCACTACTGTGCCTGTTGTAGGTATTAGCAAATTCAATTATCGAATTTTCGTTGAAGAACTATTTTGATAATAACTATCGTGAGACATACAAAAACTCGCGGGTTACTCACTTGAATATACTGAGAAAAGCTCTACTAGTTTCGAACCACATAGGGGTTCTTCCTCATGAGCAGCTACCTCATAGCATGAGTAGGCTGCGCGACATCGCCGCGACCGCACACGCTGCTCACGAGGATGATTTGATGATGACTTTTTTGATGGAAGGAATCGGTAGTTTTTTTTTATGGCATAAACGTGTAAACGAGCAGACGGATCACCTGATTGTAAGGAATCGGCGTCGCCCATGGACACCTGGAACACCAGAGGCGTTACAAGTGCGTTACCGGCCTTTTGGGGATTAGGAGTTTGAGGATCGTTGAGGATTCAGGAATTGGGGAGATTGGGGATGGGGAGGGTAATTGGGCCTCCGGTAACCTCAGTCACACGACGAAACACAACGCAAGCGTTGCTTCGCGTCGGTTTTCTGCTCGGCCGTGGTATCACTCCGGTCGAGCTGGCCCATTCGTGCCGAAGTATGACTCTTCCACTACTTAGTATATTTTTATCTTTATTTCTATACGTCATCGTACACTAAAAAGTAACTGAAATTGAAAATACAAAGTTCTCTATTCACATATTGTAAATGAGCCTCATGAATTTACCGGTATACGTATATTTACTCAACAAAAAAATCATAATATTTACACACATATGCAAATTAACTGGTTATGCTAATTGGCACAGATAGTCTATCGCATTCGTTAGCACATCCACTTTATATTTCAATATTAACTACATTTATAACTACCAGTTTCACCCACTTAAGTATACCTACATAGGTCTTTATATCAGAGGGTAGGCAAAACGAATAGAAGTCTACCTGCCTCCTGGCCACCACGACTCGGGTAGTAATGTAGATGCCGGTTTAAGACGTCTGCTTCTCATTTATAAGCATGCATCCAATGACAAGTACCAATGTGCCTTTTTCCGAGTTATATGTGCTTTCTAAGATTATCTAGGATCATCACTGACAAATGGTGAAGGAAAACATCGTGAAGAAACCTAATTATAAGTTTGACATCACCAACCCGCATTGAGCAAGCGTGGTGATTAATGCTCAAACCTTCTCCGTGTGAGAAGAGGCTTTGCTCAGCAGTGGGCATTTATAGGCTGTGATGATGATGATGATTACTAACCACCTTTATGATTTGTCATGTCTATCATTTACCTACCGAAGCTCTGGACAACCGCAGGGGTTATTGGGGTTCCGGCTCGAAAGTGACCTACCGAGACTGATAATTCCTTTCGCCTCACCCAGGTCCGGCGGAGTCATTTGAAGATTATTACCAGTTAAGAATAAAATTTCCGCCATTTATCAAAGTAAATTTGTTACAGTCCAATCCAATTTAATCTGACCATCCTTCTTTACAGCAACCACCAGTGTCGACGGAAAAGCCGGAGCCAATCAATCAGCACCTGAAGCTAAGCAAGTGCTTCCACATGCCTCGCTCCAAGTGCCCAGCAGAACCGAACTGCACCAAGGTCGGCTCCATGTCAGTCTTCTGTTGTGACCTGGACAGCGCCCGGCTGAAGGAGGCACTGGCTTCTTCTAGTAAGTTCAATTTACCTAGGTTTTTGTGGAATAGGGGGCAAACGATCAGATTACCTGATGGTATGCAATAAGCGCCATCTGTGGTCACTCGCAACACCGGAGACAGTTTATCGCACAGTTTTCTGTCATGTACCTATGGCCAATAAAACACATGAGGTATTTTTATTACTAGGTACTAAATTAATTACTATGTTTTCGGCTTACTCACGTAACTGTCTGACGAGCTAGAGACTCATCTTCATGAGCAGCATTCCGCGACACGCCATGAGCCATTCTCAAAGACCAGTTTATCCATTGATGAAAATCGCATAAAAATTGGTTCTACAGTTTTTGAGTTTACGATGAACAGACAGATGTGAAGAGGGACAATTAAAATGAATAACTAATGCACTGTACTAATGACCATTTAATTGACACTGAGTAATTCAATTACATAGCGAGGTACACACGGCTACACATCGAGCTTTACATAACCAGTATAAACTGAACGTTAAATGTGCGGAAAGATGATGCGACGCGACACCACGATAAACTGGTTTTGTATAGATTGATGTGTGGAGGTACCTACAAGTATTTACCTAGTACATACCAGTGTGTACATATATATGCATTTTATTTGTCCATTAGCTTAGTAAATACAGAAGTAATTCCAGTTTACTATGCATTTCTAATGAGTTGAGTACACATTCAGTTGTTTGTTTTTTTTAACAAACAACTGAATTTGCCCTACAAACATACAACTTCACATACACATGACGCCCAGACCCGGAACAACAATTTATGGATCACACAAAGTGTTGTTCCGTGCGGGAATCGAACCGCGCCAACCGTGCAGTTTTTATTCCTGTGTACCTAGGAAGTAATATTGAGTTTTAAAATTTTGAAACTTACATTACGAAGTCAGGATTTAAACAAAGATGTATATCCTTATAAAGTTTTATATTAATCTGTGCACCTCTGCTTACCTTTCTAAATCGCACACATGAACATAGCTAGCTATTATAAGCTATGTTTTAAAGATAACAAAGTAGTCACCTAATTGACTGCCTCGTTGGCCGAGTGGTCACAAGTGCGACTGCCGGGCAAGGGGTCTCGGGTTCGATTCCCGGATTGGGCAAAGTATTACTGGGTTTTTAAAAATACTTAATAGTAGCATGGAGTCTGGAGTTGTGCCCGATATATGGCAATAGGCTCACCTCCTATTACATGGGACTCATAACATAAATAGTGAAAAGTGTGTGTTACATTGTCCAGTGGCATAATGTGCACCTCTGTCTACCCCTTCAAAGATAAAAGGCGTGATGTTATGTTATGCACCTAATTGCTATAATCAGGACTTCACTATCAGAATAGTTAAAAATAGAAGAATATGTAAATATCATGTTAATTACAAAGTTAATTATATGCAGTTACTGCACAGTTTAACTGTTGAACGTGTTGTTTGTGATTAACGATTTAGTTATTAAAGTGCCCCAGTTATTATTGCAGTATCATTTGCTTGCATAATGGCATACGATTTTACATTTAAATGTAAGTACAGCTTCACGCCCTAAGAAACTAGCGAACACACATTTAACACCGTTCTGCAGATTCGGTTGCCAAAGAAGAAGAAAAAAAAAACCCAATTATTTCATTGCACTTATTGTTCTTAATGAATTTCAAAAGGCGCTTAGCTTTTTGGTAAGAAAAGTAAGGAGTGTTGGGTTCTTACTATAACCACCGTGGTAGTGGTCTTCCTCAGCGCCTGTAAGGGCTGTAAGCAGCACCTATTTTATTCTTCCTATGTATGTAATGGGAACAATTTATACATAACAAATTGTCGCTCCAAAATAACGTCGGCAGATGACAGTAAAAAATAAAAAAACGATTATAATTGTATAAATTATTTTTTTCTGTCAGAGTTTTCGGGAGCGTTCCGGTTACACCATATATAGGTACCAGTTATTTTACAAGTTCTTTACCTTGAATTTAAGACATTATGAAAGCCTAAAACCTCAAAAAACTACGGGTTGCGGTTACAAAAATACCTACATAATTAACATAATATACTTAAACTTTACTATGCTTACAAAACTTGTAAAAATAACACATTGACCACATTCGGGTTAATAATCGTGTATTTGCTATTGCGTCTTTATTAAAACAAATAAGTTTGTCTGTAATTACGTGGACTTGTATGTACTTGAAGTATGTGTGTCCGTGTCAAAGGCTATCGCACTCCTGATAAATGGTTACATTTGGTATCAATAACTTATATACCTAAGTTTTTTAAAAAGATCTAGATGCGAGACGCAAGTGTTTTCTATATTGTCTTAAATACCGACATACAAGGGGTAATAAATATATGAATATCAGGTATTTCATGAATATTTTACGATAATAACAATTAGTTAAGCTGTTCGTTACTGCGTTTAATGGAACCTGGTCAAAATACATTGATTAATACCAATGGCTTAACTATGCCCTTCGGGGCCCGCGGCAAAGTCATCGGATGGGTCCCCGTTCCCAATAAAAAAACAGAAAAGTTCAGATGACAACCTCTGAATGGGACACCTTCCAGCTGGGGTCCGTGGCATTTTCTCGACTTGCCAGTGGCAAGTTGCCCCCCTGTAGTTACGCCACTGATTAAGACAATGAGCATTCATTCATGCGAATCTTTAATTAGAATAAATTAGAAATTGTTGAGGTTTATCGTTACACCACTGGCACTGTCTACTCCTTTTAGAAATGATAGACGTGATGTTACTTTCTCACTTTCTATGTTTTCCTTAGGGATGGTACCTAGAAATAAAATTCATACTAAACAGGCTTTTCTTTTCAATTCCAGTTACTCAGAACACGACGTATCTTCACGTGCTGAACGCCACCATTGATGAACTGGACGTCTCCCAGGCTATGTTCCGGAGACTCACTTCCATGGCCTTCACTGACGGAAACATCGACAAAATTGTTGGTAAGAAACCTTCGATACAGGAGTTTATACTTTATATATATTCACGTAGGTTTAAAATAGATTGTAGTTCTAGTTTGTTACGCTAGTTGTTACCTTCTGTTTATGATATTTCCTTAGAATTGTCTAAATAAACTTTTGTCTATAAACAATTCTTCTTAACTTTCTATTTCATAATAATCCTACTAACTTGACCTAATCATTTTATTTTCTTCTCTAACGGTTCAATCGCAGGGAAAGAAAGTATGGACATAAACACTACCAGTGAGTATACCATAGTTTATATTAATTGTCATTAACCACAAAGCTTCGACTTCTTCTTTATAATTCTTCTTGTTATAACAGAAGAACACGCGCTAACTAAAGATCACATAAATATGTGTGTATGCTTAGGTAGTAACCTATTTATTGGCTTCATGAAAGGTGCAGTAAGAAAACCAGTCCACCGTAGCTAAGGATGTAAAGAAATATCAAGTTAATGAAGTGGACACCATGGACACATGTGTTCTGGACACGAAATTATGCTTAATTAAATCCAGAACTCTTTTCAGGAAGAAAGATAAATTAGAATTAAGTAAAAGAAAGGTACATTATATCTAAGAGGTATTATATCTAAGCGGCTGACCTTGTTTGGCTGACCATGGACAATTAATTAAACTTCATCATTCAATCACAAGAAGAAATGCTAATTAATACGTACTTTTAACTATTTTTCCAGGACAATTTCCAAAACACTCCTCAGTAGCGTGTCTGAACATCTCGAACAACAACCTGACGAGTGCCAAGCTCCAGCCTGCCATCCAGAGGCCGTATGCCTATCTCTTCAACCTGAGCGTCCTGGACGCGTCAGCCAATAACCTCACTGAGTTCCCACTGAGCTTGGTGCACAGTAATCGAAAGATTTCTGTAGATTTATCAGGTAAGGGAGAAAAATATTGTTGACAGACCTTTACTTATACGAATCACGACAGTCTATTGTTATTCTTCAAGGTTGACAGACGAGTTACGTAAATTAGGTCGTACGGAGCATTTGCTGAATGCTTCCAATGGGTTCATCTAGAAATTATTGGGGAGGCCTATGTTCACCTATTGACTTCTTGTGGCTAAAATGAAGATGATTACCATTTTCCTAACCCCCTTCTATCTATTGAAATTGGACATCCACCTTTACAGGTAACAGGTATCTCCCCTGCAAGAACTTCATGAAGGCGATGGAAGAGAGCAACTCCTCGTTAGTGACCTTCCTCAACTACCGGGACACGTACTGCGCCCTGGACATCAGCTTCAACTGGTTCAAAGATGTCAGAGTAGTGCAGATTGACCATTTGAGGATACAGAAAGAGGTAGTACGTATTCTAAATTAACTCTTCCTTTATTTCTTCTTGGATGATCCTACGACTGCGCTCCTTCTAAGGTACTCTACAAATTAATTATCTGTGAACATTAACTTGTCTGCTATCATTTGTCCTGTTCGTCCTAAACCTGCTTTTGTCTCTCTGTAATCATTCATCTCTTTACTAACTCATTGTCTTTTGTTTTTACTTATTACTTCATTCTTTTTTTATTTTATTTGTTCTGCTTCTTTGTTTAGTATTATGTCAATCGATGTGTAATTTTGTTCTGTTTATGTTGAGCTTCATGCATAGGGTGTTGTTTTTGTACAGTGTTTCATAAAATTCGCTGCTAAAATAACGGTCAGTGTCTAATTCTGCAGCAACGCATATTAAAAGAACAGTTAGGTATTCATTGGGCTGAAATGTACATAAATGTAAAGTTAACATGTGATCATAACTTGTCAAATGTTTGTACATAATTGTTTTATGTTGATGTCACAACTCACAAGGGTCGACATAAGTCGGTTCTAAACCTCATCACTAAATTCTAACAGGAACATTTTACGTCTTCCACCAGGAACTTACCCAATTAATATGACATTTCTCAAATTTCCAGCTTAACGAAAGCTGTCGCAATATAAAGCCGGCGAATATCAACTGCACCTGCATTCCCGAGCGGCTGGAGTTCTCTGGTGATGTGATCACCAACCTGGTGGCCGTGGACTGTTCCCAGCGTAACCTGACCTCCTTGCCGACTAACTTGCCACACAACACCGTCAAGCTAAATGTATCTTACAACAACGTAAGTACTGATAAAGATAAAGATAAAGATAAAGATATATTTATTTAGTAAAACATGAGTAATTACAATGAAGGTGTTTTTTTGGTTAGTATAGAGTCTACATGTTTTGCCATTGATGGCGTACTAAATCATTACTTTAGGCAGATAATACCAATCTACAATCAATAATTATACAAAATCAAATGTCAAAGTTTGAATGAAAAAAAAATTTATAATGTAAATGAATAAAAATAATAATTTAAAAATCACAAGTCAAACAGTTTAAATTATGTCAATTGGTGAACAAAATATGTCAAAATTATAAACAAGATGTCATTATTATAAATATTATAGATAACAAGATAATAAACAATATGTCCACATTCAGGCTAAATTAAATTATACTTACAAAAAAAGTAGATAATAATTATAAAGAAAAACAAATAAATTGAAACTCACAATCAATGCAAAGTATCATTTATAAATTCATCTACGCTGTAGTAACATTTTTCAAGTAATAGCATCTGAAGAGATTGTTTAAATTTATGTATCGGCAAACATTTAATGGCATCTGGTATTTTATTGAAAATAATTGGTGCAATACCAAGGACACTCTTTTTTAGTAGGGCAGTTTTACATTTATATGTACATAATAGATTTTCGTATTGTGCACGAATAGGGGTCCTCTTAACAGTTGAGAATTTTTGAAACAAATGTTGATTTGTTTTAACAAATATCGCCACCTCTAATATGTACATACATGGCAAAGAAAGTATTTTAAAGAAAGTATTTTTTACTGATTAGTATACTTTATTTAAGTAGTACTTTTTCTAAAACTCGCCCCTATAAAAGCTATAGAAAAATCAAGTATTGTCTTACTCTTTACTCAAGTGGTGAGTCGAAGCTGTAGAATCGGTGTTGATAGTTGGAGCTGATAAATTGTAGCGGTTGAGTTGGAGCTGATCTGATAGTACTAGTGAGTTAAAGGAAATCGACTGAAAAATTGGGGGATAAAAGTCTATACCTTTTAAGTGTGGGAGAGCTATGTTTTGGCACGACCTGAGTGATACCACCGCCTTACAGAAAATTGACGTGAAACAACACTTGCGTTGTGTTTCTTGTATCTTGTTAGTAAGGTTACCGAAGGCCCAATTACGACTTTCCCTAATCCCCGAATCCCCAACAACCCTTAAATTCCTAATCCCCAAAAGGTATACAACTTATAACACTTCTGGTGTTTCGGGTGGCCGATTGCATACCACCAGGTGATCCGTCTGCTCGTTTACCGGCTTATCTCATAAAAAAACCCAGCTTTAACCAATCGGCACTGATAAATTAAGCAGCTAAAAAATTAGTAATGATAATTCAACATACTTCGTATTAGGTTGCCTACACAATTGACTAATTGTTTGAACAATTACAGCGTGGGTCTAAGTACCTAGTGCAAGTCTATGAGCTCAGACTGATCATGTTGTATTGTATATGTTCCAGATCACCTCGCTGCAGACAGTGGCAGACGACTCCACGTACGAGCACCTGCGGCAGCTGATACTGGATCACAATGATATACCGCATATCCTCGAGTTGGAGGGCACCAAGTTTATTGACAACTTCATGTTGTTCTCTATCGCTTATAATAAGTTGAAAACTGTAAGTACCTATCTGTAATAAAAGTGGAATCTGATATCGTAGGAATCGACTATAAGGCTGCCCATTTAACTCGTCGAGTACCGTATTTATAGACACAATTAAAGAACAATAGGTTGCGGTCACCGGTGACCGCGCTGTGTTTGACAGTTTAAAAGAGACCAGTCAGCAGCAATCTCTGAAATACCTGAACCTATAATAAACCCAATCTCCAACCCGTTTGCCAGGTGAGGAGATTATGGCGATTGTAACAGGCTGCTGATGATGATGATGGGCGGTTCTTGCCTGATGATAAAAGAAATTAATCAAATTGTCGACTGTATTTCAGATACATACATACGTGCTGTCGAATCGTTTCTATAAGACGGGGCTGGCGCTGCTGATAGCCGGCAACTACATAAACTGTGACTGTAACACTGAGAAAACATTAAAGGTAAGAAAAAAAAACATACACTAAATAAAATAAGTAGAATAATGTTAGTGCTGAAGTATTTGAAGAAAACAAATCACTTCTGCATTGACTGCCTTGTATGTTGTTCTTGGGTTCGCTTTTAAAACATGGAGTTTGTTTGATTTGAAATCTAAGACCTTAGTTTATAGTCTAGAATCCTATAAAAGGCCTAGCATTACTCTTAAATTTACTTTAAAATATTATCTTTTCCAGCCGTGGCTACTAGAAAACTTTAAGAACATCCCCGACTACAAGTTGTTGCTGTGTGACGACAAGGTTCCTGTGATTGATTTGGTGGAGTCACAAGTCTGTCACACGCCTCGCGACTGGACTGACTACATATACTACATCATAGGCCTGGAAGTGCTTATCCTGGTGCTACTCATCAGTAAAGTGTCCTACGATTACTGGGTGTTCAAAACTGCTGGGTATCTACCCTGGCCAGCGAACAAAATGCCGAGATTGCCATGCGATTGGTTATGCGAGTAAGTTGCTGGTTGATTAGCAACCATCAGCTTTGGTTGGCTTTGGTTGATTGGCAACCAATAACGCCAAACCAATGCTTTTATGTGTTCGGGAAATCTTGATTAATCTTCTAGAAAAGTGATTGGGTTTGATTACGAATGACTTATTAATAATCCTTTATGAAAGTAGGATATAATTGTGGGGATTTTATTATGAAAGTGGAGGGGTAATAATGGGTAAAGTGGAATTCCGAATCCCTTGGACACCCGTATGAAGCTATGGTTATTTTAGTGTTGTGCCAGAGAAAATACGGACGATTTTTATATTGGTTGCAAACCAAATTGTTGGGACAATTTTGGTTTTTTATGCTTTGTATATGTGTTGTTGTCGTTGTAATGTAATCTGTAATGTAATGGGTTGCTAATGCTGCCGAAACCAGGAGGTTTCTAATATGTCTGTAAATGTTATTTGTTAAGCTTCTTATTTACTCTTGGTCTCTGTAAATACTTATTATGAATTTTGAAATAAGTTACGATGGTTATTTTTATAGTTTATTTTTTAAATTTAAAAGTGCTGTTTGTGTAATTTGAATATACACCTTAGATCTCTGTTGATCAGCTCTATGTATAATTCTATACATGCGATGTTTTATGTAAATTTTGATTGTGTTTTTTTGTATAAATAACTTGCCAATTTCGTGAAGAATCTCTCTGTTGTCTCGATTGAAGTTTTCATGGCAATCAAAATAATGGTTTGAATAAAATGTCGGGTTCAAACTTATGCACAATGTAGTAGATGTTCTCATGACTTACAACACACGGTTTTCAATTTTATTTCCAAGATTATTTAACAAAGTATTCAAGAACATAGCGCTTTCCGTTTTATAAGGCCGGCAACGCACCCGTGACTCCTCTGTTGTTGCGGGTGTCCATGGGCGGCGCTGATCGCTTACCATCAGGTGATCCGTCTGCTCATTTGCCTCCTATTACATAAAAAAAGAGTTGAAAACTCTGAGTTTATAGTGTAGTACATAAGTAAATAGTGTAACAATGATTTGATATATTTGTGTAAGTTTGTCCACTGCCTTACCATATTATGGTAATAGGACCGTGTACTATACCATGCTATGGTGTGAACCACTCGATAACAAAAGAAGACTGACTCTAGTTCGAATATTTAACCTTGCCAAAACAATATGAGAGCCATTATTTTGATTGTCCCACAAAATCCAATTACCAAACTCATGTTTCTTATTCTTGAAGAGTCGTTATTAAAATAAAGAAAATTAGGAAAAAGGATATCTATTTGTGCTACTTATTTCTTTAACATTAAACATATTTAATGTTATTAATGAACAAAATGAATGTTATGTACCTACATACCTACTTACATTAAACTTTAATGTAGGTGCACCTCTACCTATACTATGTATGATTAAAATGCGTGATGTCACTTGAATGACGTGATTTGAGCTGGAAATAATTAGTGCGAATAGATTCCTATTAATTTTGTTTTTAAGTAAGCGTCCAGGTGTTAGATTTTAAGTAAATAAGGGGGGCAAATACATGCACATTTATTAGGTTGAATAATCTTTAAGCAACTGCTTATTCCTACAAAATATAACAAACTTCTTTTTCAGTTTTGTTTTGTTATTGTGTTCTGGAAACACTTATATTTTCCTTTTAACTAAAGATGTGCTTGTATTTGTTCTAACTGGCCAGTAGAGGCTTGAAAGTAAATGTAAGGTCCAATTTACGCAAGAGAATTTTTGGATTTTTATTATATATTTTGGGAAATCAGTGCCATATTCTACGAGTAGATATGGCTGAAAGTCACTTTGTTAGCATCCATTGTAGCATTTGTTTATAACGCGGAAGTCTTGATAAATAGATCGCTAGGTCGTAAATTTCTTTTACAGATAATTATAATTTCAACCTTTTTCTTTATTTTATCAGGTTTTATTCTTATAATGTTTGATTTTTCGTCTTTTTGTCCATACAAGCAAATGCTACAATGAAGTTGAAACATGTAGTATCTGTATAAATGAAAGATATTTTTGTATAATATTAACTACGAAGACTGTATATTTTGTATGAAAATTTTATAATATTATAGATGTTACATAAATTGTACAAGTTGTTTTATTTTGTACTAGCGACCCGCCCCAGCTTCGCATGTGCAATATGCATTTATTATACATATTATAAACCTTCCTTAAGAATCACTCTATCTATTAAAAAAACCACATCAAAATCCGTCGCGTAGTTTTAATGATCTAAGATACATAGGGACAGACAGACGGTGGATAGCGACTTTGTTTTATACTATGTAGTGATGAAATGCCGACTTTCTATAAAATGAAATGAAATTTCACATTTAGGATATATAATACAATTGTCAGGACACGACCCAATGGATAGTCGGTATCATAGGTAGGTTTACGAGTAAGTGATTCCTTATCCTTACACCTACAATAAAACATTAATAAATTCAAACAAAACATTTATTTAAATAATCAGTTGCAACAAAAATATCAGAACAAATGTAATGAATTTTGTTGTAAGTCTTTTATTCAATGTTCTTGGTTCCAAGTAGTAGTTTTGTTTACTTCTTGTATAATGTCAATGGATTCACACCTTCCTTATTACATCTTAACTGATTTAAAAAATACTCCTTTTTAAAATGAAACAAAAAATACTTATAACAACTTTATTTATTTAAGATTAAACATTTTTTTTATTATTTTTCTTATTAGCTAAGTTCTTCTTTTTTCTCTTCTTATTATTCTTATTGTCTGTGGTGTTGTCGTGTTTCTGTTTGTTCTGTTCTAAATTCTGTGTTCTTCTATTTTTATTGTTTTTAGCATTTTTTATCGAGTCTACTGACTTTGCCTTATCTGCTTTCATTACTTCATCTGCAGCTTCTAGTCTGCGTCTGAAAGAAAGAAATAATTTGTTTAGTATTGTATCAACTGGTCCGGGTCGCAAGTCTGGTTTGATACTCGGTTCGGGCAAAGTGTAATAGAACATAACATCACGCCTTTTATCCCTGAAGGGGTAGGCAGAGGTGCACCTTATACCACTGTACAATATAACACCCACTTTTCACTATTTGTGTTATGAGTCCCATGTAATAGGGGGTGAGCCTATTGCCATATACCGGGTACAATTCCAGACTCCGTGCTACTACTGAGAATATATAAAAAACCCAGTAATAGTTTGATAATAGGTGTAATAGGATTTTTTAATATTTTGAAAAAAATTCAGTAATCGCTTGGAGTCTGATTGAGCTTATTGTCATCCATTGATCTTGCCAATGGATGACAATAAGCTAGCCATTAGGTACATGGAATTAAAAACAAAACTGATAAAAACGATAACCATGAAGGTACTAATTCACTATTCCTGATGTAAATTTTAGACCTTATGGCTGAATACTATAGGAACGGGGTGGTTTTTAGTCAGTACGAGTCTGACACTCCCGCCTCACCTGGGCGGGACTTCTCCCGCCCATTGGATTATTTCCCCCCTCAAAAAAAAGAGCTGGAGACTATCAAAGTCATCTTTATGATAAAGAAACTATATAATAAAAAAACTTACTTGTCAGGTCGTTTCTCCAGCCGAGTAGAGATGTTGTCCCTGCGCGGTGCCTTCGTCAGCAACTTCTTGCGCTTGTTGGGATCCTGGCGCAGCTGCAGCATGTACTCCGGGACGGCACAGCCTGACTGCTGCATTACTGACGCTATGCTGTACGGGATACGGTTGTTATTGGATTACCATTCATCATTCAAGTTGTTTGAGGTGTATGTAATGTAGGGAGATTTTGTGTCTGAGAAAACAGATTGTAGTAGTATTTGAGTGATTTCATAATAGTAAATAATTATATTTAATACTAAATAAGTCTTTTGTAATCACACAATGATAGCAGTAATTAGTAAGTCAATATTTACCTCCTAAGGTTGGCGACATCGTCCTGAGTGAAGAATGTGATGGCCCGTCCTCTCTGACCTGCACGACCTGCTCGACCGATCCTGTCACAGATTGATATCATGAATAACTAGTTTCGTAATAACATTTTAGTACAGTATTTACTGAATTCTTATTGGATAGCTAACGAGCAGATGGATAACCCACTCGCAACATAGAGGGGAATATTCCGTCTCCGGTAAATGGTGATCAAATAAAACAATTTTTATTAAGTGTACTAGACTTACCTATGAATATAAGCGATGGCAGAAGGTGGGAAGTCGTAGTTGATGACGAGGTTCACTCCCCGGAAGTCGATACCACGTCCCATCAGCTCTGTACAGATCAGCACCCAGATACGACCCACACGGAAACTGCGCACTACGTTGTCTCGCTGCGAATTACAAAGGATTAATTAAGTATAGTTAAGTAAAGCTGGTAACGTATTTGTAGCTTTGTGGAAAACTGTTGGATTGGATTCTCAGGTCAGTCAAAGTTTATCCTTACTAATATTATAAATCTAAAAGTGAGTTTGTTTGTTTGTTTGTTTGTTCCACCTTCACGCCGTAACTACTCAACCGATTGCTTTGAATTTTTGCAGACGTAAAGTTAGAAGTCCGGATTAAATAATAGGGTATAGGTTTTTTAACCCGGAAAATATTGATATTCCCGAGGAAAAACAAAAGTATTGGTATAGATGGCGCTGTGTGTATTGGTATATGTCACATAGGCTACTATTTATTCCTTTGTGACGCGAGCGAAGCCGCGGGTAAAAGCTAGTATTAGTATAAGTGAATAAATCCTTGCCTCTTTGTCCAATAATGTCGTGGTGGCCCGGAGTTTAAAGACGCCCGTTTCTCATGCATAAGTGTGAGTGTTCGTAACCTACCAACGGCAAGTACCAATGTGTGAATTTCTAAGATTATATAGACACCACTGACAAACGGTGAAGGAAAACATCGTGAGGAAACGTGGGCTTATAGATTTCAAATTATATGTTTGATATCGCCAACCCGCATTGAGCAAGTGTGGTGATTAATGCTCAAATCTTCTCCGTATGACAAGATGCCTTTGGTCAGCAGTTAGGTCTTATTATGCGAATATACTAGGAATTTCAACATAGAACTTTCCCAGCTTTGAAGAAGTCTTTTAGAATGTTATGAAGAAGTAATAGTACCTGTAACTGCGTCCTGTCAGCATGTATAACATCGACGTTGATGCCGTCGTATATCAGCTCCTTGAACAACTGCTTCGCGCGATCCTTGCTCTGTACGAACACTGAAACATAGGAGACAGTACTTTAATAATCTTAAGATGCAAAATACTAAGAAGTAATAATCTATATATATAAAAGAAAGTCGTGTTAGTTACACCACTTATAACTCAAGAACGGCAGAATAGATTTGGCTGCAAATTGGTAGGGAGGTAGCTTAGAGCCAGGAGACCGACATAGGATACTTTTTAACCAACATTTTTTTTTTAACTTTTACCGAAAAGAACGAGGGGAAAATGGGATTACGCGTACGAAGTCGCGGGCAGAAGCTAGTTCAAGATAAAATAACACTATATATGGAACTGTATGTAGTAATTTTTTAATCTTAATTATTACTAGCTGTTGCCCACGACTTCGTCCGCGTAGAATAATGACGTCTGGCAGATTTTAGGCTTTTGAATTAGTTTTTATCAAAGGATATACTCCGGTAATTAATGTCGTCAGAATTTATTTTCGGGACTGAATCAATTCTGACGACAATGATTATAATTATGAATTAGGCGATAGCATGATAATATGTAGCCTATATGTTGACTCGACCTGATAGTAATATTCATGCAAAATTTGAAGTAAAACCATGCAGCACTTTTTGAGATCACCCCGGACATACATACAGACAAACAGACGAACAGACAAAAATTCCAAAAGCCACATTTTTGGCTTCGGTATCGATGGTCGATCACGCCCCAAGTATTCTTTTAAAAAATATTCTATGTACACTTTTGACTTTTCTACGATTTTATTACATGAAAAATAGATGTCAAGGCAGTTTTCTACTAATCAGTGATATAATTATATTTCTTAACTTACCTAATACAGGAGGTTTCAATCCCTGTTGCACTAATTGTCTGAATGCCACCAGTTTCCCGCTCTCGTTGCCACAGAATAATAGCTCTTGGTCCACTAGGTTAGTTGCTGCATTTCTGTAAAGACAAAAAGTAGCTTTTACAATAATGATTACTATTTACATAACAGAACATCGGCATACGGCATTTAATGCCACTGTACAATGTAACACCCACTATTCATTATTTATGTTACGAGTTCCATGTAATAGAGTGAGCTTATTGCCATATACCGGGCACAATTCCAAACTCCGTGCTACTACTGAGAATTTTTGTAAAACCCAGTTATACTTTGCCCGACTCGGGAATTGAACCAGAGACCCCTTGCCCGGCAGTTGCACTTGCGATCAACAACGCAACGAGGGAGTTACTATTTAATAAATCAAAATTGTCCCACTGCTGACGTATGAGGCTATGTATATTTTGAAGGTTTAGTTTTCTTTAACCATAAAACAGATTGTCTTAGAAGTAATTAATTTGCAAATTATTCAAATAATAAGTGGCGTTGTATGTATATCTGCCTTTTTTAATGAATTCGTCGACCACAGAAATTAAAGAAAAACACAATAATACGGCCCTCTATGACTTTTTTCTTTAAAACCTAGATACCTTTTTAAAGAATGAAACTCAAACTCAAAAGCATTTATTTCAATTAAACCATAATTTGGTACTTTTGAAACGTCAACAAATATAAAATAAATAATAGTCTGTCAGTCTGTCCGTCAGTGAAGCTAGGCGCTCGTTCCAAAATGTCGATTCGAGTGGAGAAGAACGAGCAAGAAACTCCATTCGTTACTCTTTAAAAAAAGTCTGTTTTACATTGCCCTGATACATATTCCAATATTGTACACACATGTGAGAATTATGTAAAGACATACCTGACGCAACATACAAATAACAGAACATACTAAAATAAAAAACAAAACCAAGAGAAAACAAATATTTTAAGTCTGACATGGTCCTCACATATGTGTACTGACAATCCATATAAAATAGTGCTTCTATACAAAAAAAAACTCTTGTTTAAATAAAGAAAGAAATGCTCGATACCACAAGAAAAATAGATTGCCTCAAATTGCCTTCATCGGAATCAAATGATAAAATAATGTGCAACAGAGAAATAAACAAATATTAAATACTGACCTATGTCCCACAGTAATATTAATAAGTCCCCTCAGATGTCGTCGCGTCCACTGGGCGAGGCGCGGCGTGTGCGTGGCGCTGTACATGGCGACCCGGCGCTGCTTGCTGCCGCACGCCGCCAGGATCTGCTCCATCTGCTGTCTGAAGTCCGACGACTGGTCCTCTGAACCTTCGAACAATTTGTCCGCCTCGTCTATTACAAGCCAGCGGATTCTGAAAATAATGTGTTGTGAAATTAATTATATTTGTGTCTTTAACAAGTTGACTACATAATAGCAATTTTACGTGTCAATATTCTAAACTTAGGTAGGTTTGAGAAAGGTAGTACTGAGAAGAAACACCGAAATGAACTTAAACAAACTTAGGATAGATTTTTCGATCATCAGTTAAATCTTAACTGTAGAATAAAATTGACCGTTGACGGTTTTTAAGAATGGAAGAATTGTCAAATATTAAAAGTTATTTTATCTGGCATTATCAAAATCGTAGCGATCTAGAGAGAGTATCTTAGAGAGCTTCAGTCAATTTTTTTAAAGTCTAGACAAAGTAAAAACGTCGGAGAACTTAACACAGAACAGTATCTTCTGTAGTGGCCCTAAACTGTAAAGTACATAAATAAACTCTATTATTAAGTACCTAGTATAATACTTACTTGTCTAGTGAAATGTTGACATTATCCTGGTTTAGCAAGTAACAGAGACGGTTTGGTGTGCTCACTATTATATCTGAAAATAAGAAATTCATTGTAATACATATTTATAAATAGGATAATGGACGAATAAACAGCATAAAAATCGAGTCCCAAAAGAATAAATATAACGATTATCACAATACATCCAATTTTTTTTTTCTTGATACAAGTGTTGCCCCACACTAGGACCTTCTCCTGTATTATGGGTGCATTTACAACCATACAAGTTCACATACACACTGTGTAATTTGTAAATGTAAATTGTAAGTAATACATACCACTCTTCCTAATAGTAGCCTCTCGTTCCTTGACCTTCGACTCCTTGATACTCCTGACAACACTGCACCTCAGTTGACTTGAGGCACTAAGCCTTAGAGCTTCACGGTAGATCTGTTGTGCCAGCTCCCTGGTGGGGCAGAGCACTAGGGCTCTAGGACCGCCCTGCGGAGCTCCAAGTGCATGGAGTATGGGGACCAGGAAAGCAGCTGTTTTCCCTGATCCTGTTGGAGCGCAGGCAAGGATTTGACGGTCCTAAAAATAGTAACAATAAATTGAGTAAACAATTTTGTTATGGATTGGTATTCTTATTATTTCATAGATTGGATATTGAGAAAAATATAAAAGTTTTTCCCAACTTAGGATTTCAATACATTAAACAATGTTTATTTAATTAAACATATCGTATTAAAACTACAAAATAAAATTACTGCACTATGTTAATACATTAAGTAGCAGCGTGACAGTGGCCACTACTAATATAAGCCTCTAGCACGGCTTGAAACTAGTTGAGTTCCTTGTCGAACAGTTACGTAAGTACACTGAAAACATAATAATTAATTTGGTATCTCTTACAAAAGTTTTGATATAGCCCACTATGTATCAAAGTCAAAATCATTTATGTCAATTAGACCAGAAAGGCACTTTTGAATGTCAACCACACAAACATGACTCAATGATAGCCATAAAACAAACCAGGAACTTACTTCCAACATGCATGCCATGGCTTGTCTCTGTACAGGAGTAGGCTCACTGTATCCGCACTGCTTCACAGTATCCACCAGGGCCTGCGACACATTGTACCGAGACACCAGCTCGGAGAAGTCTTGTAGTGCTGCGGGCACGTGACGTCCCACTGTTTTGATGCCATGTTCATTGCGGAAACGGTTTTGCTGTAAAAATTTGATGATTTGATTTAAATAAGAAAATTAATAAAAATAATGTTGTGACAATGTAATTAACACAGCATTTTGCTTTTTATTATTTAACAAAATAACCTGATATCCATGTCCAAACTAAATAATTGAACACCAGTTGGTTATAGCAAATAAACATTTAATGAATGTAACACTGAATGAAAATTTTTGCTAACCATACCTCTTCTAACTCTAATTTCTTTTTCAAATCTTCAGTCTTTTCTTTCTTCTGCTTTTTTTTCTTCTCCTGTCTCACTTTGACTCCCTCCACTAATTGTAAGTCATCCTGTGCCTCCTCATCAGAGCTCTGGTCTTCAGACTCTGTTCCGGAGTAGTTTTCTACACCATTATTAAGTTCTTCTTCATTGTCACTTATTTGTTCTTCTTTTATCTCAATCTTTTCTTCTTTTTTAACTGATGATTTTGTTACTTGGCCCTGAGGAAAATAAGGTTAATTTTTAATTTATAAATTTACTGAACTCATATCTGTTAAAATAGTAGTAGTAATACATACACATCTATGTTAATGTAAATAATAATACTAGGCTCTAAAATCGTGACACATAATTGTCAATTATATAGAGCAAGTAGTTAGAAACCTAAAATAAAATTGGCAGTTATACTTTTATTTGAATAAAAAGTTGGAATCGTGGTATTTTTTAGTCTAAGTAAGTAGATTACCATGAATACTACTGTTTCCTAATTGATTATTGCGTTAAATGAATAGATTTTTGGAATCTCTATTACTTGTTGATTAGTTAATAAGGTATATTGATGTTTATACTGCTCAAATAAAGATTTAATTAATAACAACATGCAATTCAATAATGTAAAAAAATAGGTTATGTGTCGTACTTACATTGTTCTTAACGCCCAAAACTTTGTTTTTAAATGTCAAACCTTTTGTTAATTTCTTAAAAATATCGTAGGCGTCCATTATTGTTGCATTTGTATAGTATTTTAATTTAAAATAATTTAAAACACACGTGCGAACTGCACAATAACAATCTGCTTATAGCTGTCACATTCAATTTGACAGGTGACCAAATGTCGATTTGATATTTGAAGTGACTGTTGTTCTGTTCGGATACGGTTGTCTTAAAATAGCGGATTTTATTTTTACGTATGTCTTGTATATGACTCATTCATTTAAAAATGGAACTACTGCGTGTCTCAAAATAAATTATAGTATTATTGACTGTTTCTTGGAATAATTTGAGTTAAAATGTGCTGTTTTGATACTTTGTCTAAAATGTGTTATCCTGTTTTGTATGCTTATCCTAACGTACTTTTGCTGGTATTCCCAGTAAAATTATGAAATGTTGCCAGTTGTAGTAATGCTCCCCGTGTTTGAATTATTTTTCCTACTATTATTGGTGTGAATTCTTATTAAGTAAAAGAGGTTCAAAAATGCTTTCTTTTTGGAAACTTAGCCTTTCTCTAAACATCAGACAAGGTATTAATTGTTATTTTACTTTGAAATTTCCTTACGGAAGTGTGTGAACAAGTTCTTTTGATGTGTGACGTGCATTTACAAACAGTTACTTGCACATCACACATAATTCGGGAATCGATCCCATGTTACGTGTCGCAGCAGGTAGTGACTCAGGTGTAACACTGGGATTAAAAAAATTACTGGATAAATTGAAGTTGGTTTTGGTAGGCAAACATTTCATAAGGATACTCACTGACTCATGCCCATTAGAACGTACACTTACTTTTTATAAGCGCGACTGCTTAAGATGCTCTGCGCCACCCTGGCTATAAGTCCAGTTTCAATATATTAACACTTTACAATAAGCTAAACTTTTTAGCCGACTTCAAACAAGTAGGAGTATTTTGCTTTTGTTTGTGCGCAAAATCTTGCAATTGGCTATGAAGTGAAATGAAGTAAAGTGACAGAAAAGTGTTTCTTATACTTAGAAGGTACGTTCTTATACTTAGTATATAAATAAATCGACTTAAAAAAAGAAGAAGTTAAAGTCGGATTTTTTAAACGTCAGGTAGTTTATGAAAGAATAATTTAATTCTTCACCTCACACGTATTTGTATATAATTATGACACAATATGCAATGTGCATAAAATATCAAAGTGCTTACCATCACCTCCCTTACAAAAAAAATGTCGAGATATTATCTGCCTTTGGATTGTGATGTATTTGAGTCAGATTGCAATTTTAAAAGGGTCATAGGTGTAAAACTTGTCCTTATCCCGCGGAGAACTTAACGGGTTACCGGGGCCCCGGCTCGAAGTGCAGGAGTAGGAACGGAGTGGTTTTTAGTCAGCAAGAGGCGGGAGAAGTCATTCGATGATTTTGCGCCCTTAAAAAAACCCCTCGTAATTCTCATCCACTCCTGTCCAGCAGTTCTCCTTAGGTCATCATTGCGAGCGGTAGGGAAACGTGGAAGAGGAGGAGGAGGAAGCCTATGTCGAAGGGCAAAAGAACTGATGCATAATAATAGTGAAGAAATTATGTTTGTCACCTCAGTAATTAAGGCTTATATTACTTTTTTTCGGTGTATCAGAAAATACTGCTTCCCGATCTGAGAACACTATCGGATAGACGCACAGGCGACAAAATGTCAATATTCTGCTCTGTGGTCATCATACAGCTTACCTTACCTTATATTAAGGGAAGTCAGCTTACCTTACCTTATATTAAGGGGTATTTAATACCTAATATTAAGGGAAGGTGCTAAACTAATGAATAAAAGACCATACTATCAATGGAATCACTGCGAGTTTATTTTATACTTTTATTACATTCAACTGTTATACGTTGCTGAGAATTCGAAACGCAGATTTTGTAAGAAACCTAAACTTAAAAATAACCGATATATTTTCTCCAGTATTGTTTAGACAAGAGTCAGATTCAAAGATACTTATAGTACTAAGTTCTCCGACTATCTGATATGTTCCTAACTTCCTACCAACGTGACCATCACGGCATTAGGATACATCGATCATTCAACTCGGTTCTCGTTCCATTACCGGCTTCGTAAAGTATTGTCGTGATAAGGACCGTTGAAATCCCGCAATGGAATGAGAATGCAGTGTTGTAATCGTGTGCCTCTGTGCCCGTGACAGTCCTACTCAACCCGAATTGATTCCTTATTCACAAATATCAACAACATCAAAACAAGTAAAGACACCACTTTGTAAACACCACTGGACGTCATGAGTACTACTTTTAGTATCAATGCAGATTTACCGATTCGTTGTACATTGCGGCTTATATACCAGAGTATTTCCCACGTTTTCATTCCAACAAGTAATGTATTACGAATCAGGCGGCCCTACAGTTTTCTATTAATATTAAAAATTTCGGACGTTTCCTCAAAAACTATCCACTATTGCGATTTATAAGTAATACTGATTGATTTGACTGCATTCATACGAAAAGTGTTTTACACGAATTATTTCTTACACAGTTACACTTAATTTACAACATGCGGGAACTGAACGAGGAACTGAACACGTACTGAGCCACGAGAGAAACCTTTTATAATTACATACTATGCAATATATACTATAAAACCTATGATATTGGCACTAAGACGTCCCATGTTGAGTTCCCCGCCCAGGGCCGGCCTCATGGGTCCAGTGCATGTCTAGAACCACTCCATTACCGCGACCTCGTATCTAAAACAATAGTACTTTAAGTGTCTTCACCGACTGAGGTGTAACTTACAACAACTGTCAAGAGAAGCCTACCAGGTCCTATCGGCCCCACATCTAAACCTTATTCGATCAATACACAATACTATAATTCATTTTTGTACACACCACATCCCCGGACCCTTTAAAAGTATAACAAAACTCCATTTAACTAAATTTAACACATATTTTTTCATCTTTGATCAACGATGGCAAACTATAACTTTTACATAGTAACACAATATTAGTTTAGGCATATTAAATCATCGCAAGTGGTACTTACGCTTGATTGCCTTGTTAGTTTTTTACCCAATATCTAAATACAATAAATTATTAATTTTATTTTTCAATTTTTTTATGAACCAAACGTAAGTATCACTTACGACATCAGCTTATAAAGAAAAAGAAAATCAATGCTAATAAAAACGCAGATCGTGCATACATTAAATTACGAAAAAAAAGAAAAATCTAATCCTAAGTGTGTCAGCAAAAATATAATGCAGTAAATTAGAATTGCCACTTAATTAACTTTCACAATATAAATTGTATTTTTTTTCTCGTAAAAAAATATTTCTGTGTATAAAATGTGTTACCGAGCATAACAAGAAACAGCGGCACAGTTTTACTAAAACATAAAAACGTAAACATTAGGAAAACAACTCAGTAGAGAGTATACTACAACAGCACATGCGCAGTGCGTGAGCTGCGCACGCGTCCACTTGGCATCCGATGCTCAACAGTACAGCACTCAACACTCGGATTGTATAATAAACTTGCTTAAAAATAACAGCTTTTGGTAAAACTGCACCACTGCCTTACTTTATCTGTAGATATAAGTTACTTCTAGGATTCAACTGTCAGTATATTGTATGTCATAGCGTGTATATTGTAAATACTTTCTTTTATGTACTGTTATATAGACGGGTATCAACGATATTGCTCGACCGGGGGGACATATGTACTACTTATTATATAATACTTATTATTTTTATATAAAAAGTTGTAAGTGCACTTTGAGTTACGGAACTATATTTATGTTACTATTTACTGTAGGTACCAGGGCTGGACATCCAGGCAACGATAACGATAGAAATCAGTCGCTAAGTCGCAAATTCTATTACTTAGTAGATTTTCATGTTTATTACAAAAGGATAAGGTTGAGAATCTATTAAGTAAATTTACAACTTAGCGTCCGATTTTTATCGCTATCCATGTCGGGAGTCCAACCCTAGTGTTACTCTGACGTACTATAGTACTTTAAATTATAATAAAGAGTTGACATGTGACTTGAAATGTATTGTCAATATTTGGCACTGAGGTTTTAGACGCGAAACTTGATGAAAGAAAATAATAAACTACAAACATATAACGAGGGATTGAATTGAATTTTGAAGTCGAAAAGTCGCATTACCGCGAGATGAGAAACAAAGAATGGGAAATAAGACTTACATTAGTAATAAATAGACCTTCTTAAATCTTAATTGACATTAAAAACAGGAAATCTGCTGATTATATCTTATAATAAATTCATACATAAATGTAACTATTATATTGAGGTACTGTGGCGAATTGGGAACTATTGCTATAACTGTATTTATTTATAATTATATTATGTTTAAAGTGGAAGATACTGATATAAATATTAAAGCTATTGACTTAAGAATACATCGACTTTGACTCTCATACGACAACACTATCCGTTCGTATGTTATAATTTGTGAGCAACGATTCAAAAGTACTCAATAAAAAGCTGTCGATTTATTCTTAAAAAGATTTTGTCCCGCGTCCGACCGAGCAATTTAAATTATTTATAAATAACTATTGTATGATCTGGTGGCGCTAGTGTTTCAATTAAAAACGTCATTTTCAATTAAAACAATAACGCAAAATAACTATTGCATTTTAAACATGGAAATGGATCAACAAAAAATGATTGTATGGGAAAATACTATTTAACAACTGTTATATCTCGTTCATGATTTACAATATAATTATAGATAAATATAAACACTGTCCTGTCTGTATGTTGCAACTGTAATACATACATAAATACATCGGCCTGAACTGTTCAGGCAAAAACCACGTTCTAAACTAATACATTAGAAATTAAATTATATAATTGGAGGTAAGTAATACTTAAAATTATAGGAGGTAATACTTATGATAAAAGCATTTTTATTCTCTTAAAAAACAGTTTTGTGAAGCGGTTTGTGAACATGTATATTTCAGGTGAGAATTCCCCGTAAAAGACGTATTAACTTCGGTCACGTAGAAGTTTAAGTTACCTGCCTATCATAAGATTAGGTAATTATTATTATATCCAAGAATAATCCTAAGGAAAATCATGGAAAACCCTATAAAATCATTTAAAACGTTTACGAAATTTATAAATCGGCAGTACCTATTTTAATTTATTCGAATACGAAAGTTATTTGATCTTTGCAAAGGAAAACAGACAATAAAATACTTTGAAATGACATTTAGGGACAGACCGCGAGGTCTGGCTGTGGAGCCTGTAAAATATGGCTAGCTACCAGATCTGTGTAGCACAATACCTACAAGTCTAAAACCTGAGCATGTATGAATGCTCTCCCCTCTCGTTTTCCTTTAGTAATTGTGCTCTATATTTGAGACGGTCAACTAGGCCCAAATGGTCATTTCAAAGTACGCACAAATCTTATTTATTTATCTAGTGTAGGCTATTGTTAAAGTTGTACTGTTTAGAAGGCATCCCGTTGTTGATTTCTTTGTGCATTACACTAATTAGTAACACAGTCGGTTTATTAAATTATTTCTTTAAACTTAACGTTATTAACTGGCGAACAAGCGAAAAATTATATTGCGAATTCAAAGGGCTGCTATAATTTACACGTAAATATATATAAAAAAAGACTTTCTCACTTTTCATCTTACTATTTAAAAATGCAGTATTTTGGTATACATTGCAAAATATACTTTTACTTATTATTGTTTCGCTGTATTTTTTTGTTTAGCGATTGTTTATTTATTTGTGTATTTTTATATTTTTTTTAATTTTAATTTTTCTTTTTCACGCTGCGATTTCTGTTCCTCCGTTTTTGCCGACACATAATCCAAACTTAACACAAATTTCACAATATTATAAGACCTAACAACAATCACCAACGGCTGTCTCCAAAATTGATGTAGTACGCAGCTGTCAATTTGAGATCAATTTAGAAAAATTCATCCAAAAAATCGAACCACAAAATAAGTGTGGGGATGTAAAATCCAATATTTCAACGAAGCAGTCAACAATAAGCTCAATAAACAGCCAAACCAATAAGAAACCATTGCACAGCGAAAACAATAAACACAAACATTAAAAAAACATTATGAAGACTAAGTCTAAGTTCACTATGAATAAATCCATTAGTAGAATATATAAAAATCCTTTCCATTAATGATTTTATCTATTTACTATTTAGTTAATAATATCACGAGGCTTCTATTCCCGAGCGATGCCACGATACTTCAGTTGTGTACGTTATCTAACTTATATTTACAATTCAAACTACCCGCTTGCTTTTCCTTCTAAGCTCCAACTAAATGATGCTATGATCTTTATATTTCCGAAAATATTTCGTCGACGTGTTCCTTTTACATTAAAAATTAAACAGCCTGTAACATTGAAATAAAAATAATAAAACAAAATAATATAATAGTTGAGGTACTACTTCAATGGAGGTATACGGGCTTACCGGCTAGTGTCCACGTAACAATATCTTGCTTTGAAATCAACCCGAAATTAACATCTATTTAAGCTGAGGATAAAATGATTAAACTTAAATGTTAAAATATCTGGATATACCAAACAACTTCTCATTAAATGTATATCATATCACAAAGTACACATATATGTAACATTTCGAAAAGAAAGTAAAAATACAAAAACCCTACGTTATGATCCTATACCCAAGTTACTTAACATTGGAAAAATAAATGCAAAAATATAATGTTGATTGCTCTAAAACAACGAACGTAGATGCATTGGTGCCTGACGCTGCATGGGATGCATGGGATGCATGGGGAGCGTGGACAGTGCGTGTACTCCATGGTACACCTGCATTGTATGACGTGAGTTTAACTTCACTTACAGTGAGATTGATATGTCCCAAAGTTTTGGATAATTCTATGAACGTGTAAATTGGATATGGCACAATACATTTCAGTATTTCAACATTGTTTAGAAAGTTGTCATATTTCTACGGGAATAAATGCATGTCAGCAAGTATTATTCACATTAACTTGTTTTCTTTGGCTTTGTGAAATATCACGGTGTTAAAAATACTTTCCTTTATTAAAGATATTCATGGATTTGTGATATGTGGTTTAGAGATTGGATCGCGATTCAATGGTCGAAATGTTTTCGATAACCCTGAATAGATATGTCGTGTTACCTGAAAAACGCGGTTCGCAAGCAATTTTCTACGATATAAGTAAATAAAATAAATTTTTATACAATTTGCAGCCATCTTATGGTTAGGTAATCCTAAGATTTTTTGAGAATAATATAATAATAATCTAATAAATTTTCAATAACGAGACATCAGCTACGTTGGTCGACATTTAAATAAGAACCACTATACACTCATAGAGAGAAATCCGAAAATGGATACAGGTTAAATATAATTCTATTAATTAATACCTAAAGTCTACGTATTTCTATACAGAAGAAATGTTTGATTTGTTTCATGATTTGTAATCATGCACACGTATACGATCGTCGAACTGCTTTTCGAAGACCCACTTTCTGGCAAACCAGCGCCTCTATTTCCTACAACTGTTTACTCACTCTTAACCCTGTATTCAAGGATTCCACCGGAGTCTGGCAACCCTACAGCATTTTCCCTTTTCGAAACGTCACCGCCAACATTGATTCGTCCGTGAACCGTCACTTGCGCATACCTCGTCAGTTCAGAAATTCATCTTTACGTTTCGAAGACGAACGAAGGCACGGCTACTTACACATTGATCATAATCATATATTACTGAAGCCAAACGCACATAGATTAGATATTGTAGACGTTACACTTTGTACTTTCGAAATCAGATTCTAAGAAGTCTTTAATTTTTTACTCAACATCAACATTTTTTTTTTTACTTTTAATCTAAACATTTTTGTAATTAACCGCTAAATAATCTGTATCATTTAATTAATTTAGATTTGGCGTTCCGAAAAAAGTTTCAGTAAAAAATATTTTCTTTGCATTTCTTTAAAATTTACGGTTTAAAATTTGTACGTTCTCAATTTGTACAGTTATCGAATCTAATTTGACACTAGACATTTATCGAAAAGTGATTTTAAAAAATGTATTTCTCTTTAGAATACAGTTGGCATAATTTGGCAGTACTAGAAATATGAATACTTTAGTATTGCTCTGGATTACATTGTCATATGAACACTGTTGGAACATTTTCACTAGAAAATGCCGTAACTCGCAACTGTTACGTCCTAGTCACAAAGCGAAGTCCGATCGTCGAAGCGTACACTAGGCGACCTCTACCGGCCGCGTGCGACAATACTGTTTATGTAATTTTAATCCTAACGTCAATATTTTACTAATTATAATACGATTAACCATGGACGCGGCCGAAGCCTGCATCGTGTTGGCATTGTCCGTTGTATTGCACATATGCTGCTAGCCGAGTCGTAAGCGCGTCATCTAGCCGTATTACAAATAGACTTGGCGAGGAGGCCAAGTGTATTTGGAACAGGGACCTCTGCCACCGGTCTAAGCCATGGTCTGAGGTCATTGAAGGCCAGGCGGCAGCTGCGGGCCGTGGTCGGCGCCCAGGTCGAACAGGTGGTGCGGCGAGGGCGCCAGCGCCGAGTGCAGCGCCGACGTCTTCAGCAGCCGCTTCAGCATGCCGCTGGAGCCGCGGTGCTGCAGGCTCTTGTGCGTGGTCAGCGAGTTCTTGGTCCTGTACCTCCGGTGGCAGAACTCGCACACGTACAGCGTGTCCGACTGCTCGTGCTTGTCTTGGAAGTGTCGCTTCAAGGAATAGTAACAAGAGAATGTCCTGCGGCAGTAAGGACACTCTTGTGGCTCGTTGATACCGCCGGCAGTGGGCGGGGGCATACGGAGGGGCGGGACTGCTGGAACACAAGAACACACGGCGCGTTAGCAGGGCGAGCACGGCAGCGGCGGCACGGCGGCTCGGCAAGCTGCTTCATACGACTCGTCAATAAACGTACATGTATGAGGTTAATATAATAATTAATAATATTACTAATAATATGCACTGTACACATTGACTAACTACACAATAATCACGAGATTCTCATAATATTCAAAATCTTAAGGAAATTCTCTCAACCACAATAACACATAGACACGTGATAACAAAAATGATAGAAGCATGCTCCAAGCAACACAACAACGTCCAAACTGCGAAACCCGACGGGAGGGGGAGCCGGGGGCGCGGGGGCGCGGGGTACGCGGGGTACGCGGGGGACGGGAGGAGTACAGTCGAACTAAAAGAACAGAAAATTCAAACTAAAATCTATGAACTCAAAAGTGAACTGAAATAATAATATAAAATGAAAATGTAAGAAGGGCCCTTAACCTAGCTTAGTCTAGTATAGGATATCCATTGTTAATGAGTTAGATCGTCTGTTCTCTAATTGTTCTGGTTCTATAAACAATATCTAACCTTTGTGAGTGTTGCTATGTACGGCGGGTTCGGGTAGATTGGGCTCGTGTAGATTCTCTTTGCTAGATGAATACTGCCGCACGCCGCGCCAACTCCGTCCAAGTAGTCACTAAAAAAATCGTATTTGATCTGTCTCCCCTGTCCTCGACTTGTGGTAGGTGTATATGTGGGTCATCAGGGAGTTGCGCGAACAGTATACCCTCTCACATATCGTGCATCTGTATTCCTCCTGCCGTTCTGCGTGTTTGTCAGCGATATGCCGCTTCAACGACGCCTTTGAACACAGAACCTTCCCGCATAGCGAGCACGAGAATAACTTTTTACCTGTAAACAGATCGAAAAAACAAAAAAATATGGGGTTGCTCCCCGAACGCGGTATAAATTAACAAAAATAAAACCTATTCCAGGGATCATCTCATTATTCATTACATTTTCTCTTTTTCTTTTTGGTCAAGAAAAAAATAAAAACAAAAAAGAGTGTGACTAAAATAAAATGATAAATAAAAATAGAAAAATAAAAATTGAAATGATGGCGAAGCTACAGTGGCTCATGAAGGGTGTTAACAGTCAGCATGCGATTGAGGCGGGAAAATAAATATTTAGGCGGGAAAACTAGATATGCTAAGCGTGTTTCGAAATTAATAAAAAAGAAATAAACCAGTGCACTATGGAAATCATCTAATTGTCTCTACAAAGAAGCTCGTAACTGACAAAATAAAACAAGAACAGTATATACTCGGGTAGCCGGAGGATGTTCTAATAAAACTGGCAATAAGTTTTTTGTATATTTGTTTTTATTAAAAACGCCATTATCATCAATATTAGGATTTATGAAGTTCGGTTTAACGATTACATTTTATGAGTAGTTACTTCAATTATTTTAATTTAAAAAGTAAGGAAGGAAAAGAACTATTTATGAATATATAATATAGTGTTGCGAAATCATTAAATATTAGAAATACAACTAAGTGCAGCCCATTAAAATAATTTGTATATTTTTGGCGTTCCACGCTACGTACAAGACTAATATCGCCTCAAAATGGAAGACAAAACATAAAAACACCGAAGTTTTGGCACAATCTCGAATAACATTAAACAATCTAATGGACTGCATTACACAGATGCCAATCATTAACAAAAATAGTAAATCTAGATTCGTGGATAGTAGAACAATAATTTAAGAAAAAAATATATAAAATTTTCAATACAACAACCAATAAATTAATTTAGATTCCTTATAAAATAAGTAAAAATGCCAACAAGAAGTATAAGAACACATTGGATAAAGTCAGCGCACGCGCACGTGACGCTTTGAAAAAAAACCTTAACTCGTTAGAAAGATAAAAACTTAAACAGGTCACAGAAACAGTCTTAATCTTGCTAAGATCCTAACTAATATAGTTTTCGACAGGGATGTGTTCTGCTCCTTAGAACACGGTGTAATTCTTACCCTTGCAAACCCGAGACTTTCAGTCTCTCGAGATCCCAAAATAACTTAACACCTAAAAATTTCGAACCAAAAGATCATTTTCAATCACAAATCAATTTCGAGTTTATAATACCAAAATCAATCACGCTTTGACCGCCTTCTGCGCGATGCCATTCTTCATTTTTTTATAAAATTATCAATTAATTTAGTAAATAATGTACATTTTTTATCTATAAAATACGCCTAATAGTGTACAAGTCAAACGCGTACTTACTCTAATCAGTCTATAGCGCTTATTATTTTGGCAAAATTTTTCCCAACCAGAGACAAGATTTTTTACTAAATAAATTCTTAAATTTTTTTCATAGCTATACTCAAAATAGCTGAAATACCGTACTGCCTTTGCAGCACATCCCTGTAATCGTAAATTAAACATGTATTTCTATTAACTATATGAATTCAGATAAACCTTAATCCTATTTAATCAACTAACTTAATTCCCCAAACCCAAATTAACAAGAAAAACTATGACTAAATTACTAATCAAAAAACAACAATCCTACGTTTCAAACTTTGCAATGTTACGCAAATAAAAACTTAACATTTTTTATCATTTCCCTTCGTATCGGAATGTTGCGAAATGTTGAAATAATTTAGATTCCCTTTTCGGTTCCCTTATGTTTTCTAGCACGAACATCGTTCCTTTAGCACCAAATCTCTAGTCTTCCAATTGGCCAAACTATTACAATAAAGCTTACTAATTAACTAAACGAGTAATGGCTAAGCATTTATGTATCTAGCAATAACAACAGAATTTGATAACATATAGCATTTTAGGAAGCCTCTTAGTTGTTTAGGTAAAGCATCTCTTTTCTAGGTAAACAGTGTGTTAAACACTACCTAACAATGCTTTCAAAGTTACGAAAAAATACGCAAAATATGTCTTTTTTGTCGCAAAGAACACAATAATATGAAGCAGGCACTAATATTACTTAGGGTGTATACCATTTTATAATAAATTATGTTAACATTTACAATCAAAGGTCCTTATTGCTATAAAATGAAAGTTTTAACAATAGTGATATTTATCGACTTTATAAAGTCTGAATAAGTGATGTTTCATGAACTAGAATATTTTCACAAAGAAAGACGCACATTAAATTTATCTATTGAATGATTTAACTTTAACGCGAAAAGAAAACTTTGCCGATCTTTATTCGTTTATGTTTTTCTCGAAGATCGTGTTTCCGATCTTTTGTTCCTGGTAATTTCCATTAAAACAATATTTTGTTATTAATCTAGGGTATAATACGTACCAAGTTATTATTTTCTTGTCTTGTTGTCACGGTCCTAACGCGTTGAAGTTTCGTCACTCAATAACAAGTCGTATACACTAAAATTATTTATGGCAAGCAAAATTCCGTCACTAAATAACATCGAATACGGAACATTTAGTAGTTGAAAGTTCACACTGTTGAAATTTAGGAACATTTAACACTGAGAATTATTAAAAATTTGTTTTTATACTATTACCTATTATTTTATGTATAATATAATAATAATAATGTGTAATTACAATTGTACAAAACAAAAAACAAACTGTGAGTGTTTAATGTACAAAAAATACGAGTAAAAATAGGTCGGTAAAAAGCGAAAAAATATTATTTGAAAAAAAAAAAATCATCTATCCTAATAAAAAGGCTCAACGAAATAATAATAAATTGAAACGAACACAAGATTTGCGTTAAAAACTAAAGTTTGAAAAACTAAAAAATGTAACTAAACTAAAAAATAAAATAGCCATATTCATTTAAGATGGCACCTTGCGATTCACTTGTAAAATGCAATTTCTTGACTGATGCTTGTTTGTCAGTTGTAATAAAATAATGATAATAAGGCAGCAACTAATGTATAAAAGTCGACAAATGAGATATAAATAAATATATTGATAAAGTATAAATTAAACCTGTCGACTGTAAAGAAAGCTACGAGTAGTTCTGTTTGTCTGTGTCGGTTTGTGGGTCTGTGGTATATATGTATATGTAATTATGTATTCCTGGTTTGTGTCTGTTGTATAGTCCGGTATATCTGTGGTAGTGCTATCTGCGGGTAAATATATGGATACTGTAGTGTATATGTTTTTGCAAAAACAATCCTTCATCTCATTCTATTGGTGCTATTTATTATAAATCCTGAATTCAGTCTTAAATGAAAAATTAAAACTCCTAAAATAAAAATAATAATTTGAAAGCCTCATAAGCCAATTATATATCTGTGTATATAGCTTTTATACTTTTTACATATTTTCGTTTAGTAATCTCGTATAAATATCTAAGATTGAGATCATACAGATAAATTACAGAATAAATAAATTGCCAAAAATAATGAACACAATTTGAAAACAATATGCCTCTTCTGTTACTTACACGAACACCGTTTCTTTTATATAAATTTAAGCCTAATATATAAATTTACAGCACCAAGATTTTTCATCTTTTCTCAAAATATTATTTTTTTCTCTTCGCCTTATTGTCGCACATTTAACATAGTGTAAAATTCAGGAATCATTTTATACCGCAGTATTGCACTCTTCGGGCGCAATCGATCGAAAACATTTCTAAACAAAAAAAAAAAACATTTGAAATTCGATCTCAGTCGCCCTCCCTTGTAACATGTGGAATGTCAGAAAGCCGTTAAATATTGTGATGTTAGTCAATGTCAACCCCTACGTACAAGTTCAAAGTTCAAATAAATATTTTATAAAGGAAAACAAATCTGAGAAACAAAAATATATCAAGTCCCGTTAACTATACGGAAATAAAGGATAATAATCATATGAAAATATAATAAAATAGTTACTTTCATTTTCAAATAGAGAAAAAAATTGTTTCGAAAAAAAAGAGAACGTTAGAATGTTTAGAATTAGACATTGAACTGGTCTTTGAACTTGTAGAAGTCAATGTTGTGATGCTGTGGGTTGATCTTAGTGTCGGGGCTGGTGGTCAGGTTCTGCGGCTGCGTCTGCTGGGGCACGCCGCGCTGCCGGCGGTGGTAGATGCTCTTATGGTTGTTGAGCGAGTTGAGCGTTCGGAACACCTTGTGGCAGAGGGAGCAGCGCGCCGAGTGCAGCGGCTGCAGGTGTTGCTGCTCGGTGTGCCGCTTGAGCGTGAGCCGCGTCGACAGCAGCTTGCCGCACACCTCGCAGCGGTGCCCCGCGCCCAGAGGGCCAACTGCGCCACACATAACAACCAACATGAGCGCATTAGTCAAGACACGAGCCGGCGCGCGGCCCGTCGTATCCCACACCACTGCGACCGCTCGCATCCAACGGGTCCCACGTGACGGAACCAATTGGCACAAATAGTGCACCATTATTGTTTCGGTGGCAATTTTGAACCTAGCAGAGGCAATTGAACGTGTTTCACGAATTTGACTAATGCGCTTTATACAAAACGGTTGGTGGTTATGCGTGTACCGATCAGATGTCCCAATTGGTTCCAGAGAGGGCGTGCCAGCGCAGCGGCGGCCGGGCGGCGCGCTGCGCTGGCACGAGCGTCATACGATACGTTTAGTGAGAAATAATAAATTAATTATACATAGATATAAGATAAAGTTTGCGATGCGCATGCATTACTATGCTATATACAAATGTTAGGAACATATCGCGTTACAATTTTGTATAAACTTAACGAAGTCTAGGGGCAAGAGTATGGCGTTTAGGTGGTTAGGATGGCAGCTCGGTTTCTTCGAATGGCAACGTGAGGGGGGCGCGCCGGGGCCGGCGGGTCGAGCGTCAGTTGACGGAGTAGAAGGGGCCAGGCGCGGCCGCCGCCGGCTGCTGCTGCTTGCGGTGGTAGATGGACTTGTGGTTGCGGAGGCTGTTCAGACTCGAGTAAACCCGCCGGCAAATGTTACACACCGGCTCCCGGGACGGTCTCATGTGCACGTTTTGGATGTGGCGTTTGAGCCGCGTCAACGACGACAAGCTCTTGTTACATGGCTCACAGCGGTAATCTTCTTGGGGGGTGCGGGCGCCACCTGGTACAACACAAGCAGTTAGCCCCGTCGGTGTCCGCGTTTAATGCACTCTCGTGTCGTAGCGTCTGTGTAAGCACCGCCACCCCCCGCTACGATGACAGCGACCCGCCTCGGGTATTGCGAAGCGGTATTAGTAACGCATACATTGTACTCTCGCCTACTCCTCGCTAGTTAAGCTCAGCAATGATTGTGTGATCGACTATCGTCGGTTTTCATAACAGACGCGCGCAACGTTTGTTTCAAATTTCCCGAACAAAAGCGTTTTTATTCTTCAATGAAATAATTTGAGCGTATTTTATAATATACCGACACCAAGTTACCATTACTAAAATTCCATTGTTCGATCTCCCTGTTATTATATTTTCCGTTTCCCAAGACAATGTGATCGAGTGTAACCCGATAGTGTATTTAGAAATGATTCATGAGATCCACTATGCTCGGAACAATAAGTAAACTCAACTTTTACTGAACCGCTCAACTTTTATACCGAACTTATGATTGGATTTCTCGAAACTTAATTTTGTGGTTTTCTTCATATTCCCGAGTACGTTTTTTTCTTTACAATATTTCGAATGTAATGTTTACAGCCAATTCGTGTGGTACGATTGCGTTCGACAACAGTCCGTTTGTTCCCGTCGGATGGCCGGTAAATAATGAGAATTTGAAAATAAAAATATAGAAACAAAAAGTAACAACAAAAACCTAATTCGGAGACATGGGAGTGAGGGGTTTACCTAGCACACAATTTGTTTAACATCTATAAAACAAGCTAGCATATCTTCGTAAAGTTACATTACACTATGTTACAGTAACAGTTACATGCACGCCACATTGCGTTTTGGTTCAATGATAAACATGTTCCGTCCCACTCGTGCAGAGAGTTACAACCAATCAAATGTTCCAAACATATTGTACCTATGCGCGTCTCCATCGAACCATAACACAAAAAGCTAACATTAATTAATTTAAATACAGAAACACAGAGCACAAAATGAAGACATATACAAGGTTAATAGTATATAGTAATATAATAATAATATACATATAATAAGATATAGTATATATAAATTATATGTCACGTGATAATTGCCTCATACATTTGTAAACAAAAATTATAATAAAACCTAATAATGATATATAAACCTAATATGACAGAGCAGAGAGGAAGCGGTGATGGTGGCATACGACAGACAGTGCATTAAAAATATCGTTTGTCTCAATATATGTAGTAATGCAATAAAATAATTCGTTGCTAGACAAGCTGGCACTCACCTTGAGAAGTGCTTGCGATGCCGTCCGGAGCCAGTGGACTCTGGAGACCTGGAAACATCACACAGTTCATATGTTTTCTTTTACGAAAATTTGCCTAGAGATACAAAAACTGAACAATTTTGAAAACGTAAGCAATTACTCTTGATTTCTCATATTATACAACAATGTTCTGAGAAGCGGATTTTACTATAGATATCATTTAATTATTATCATAGTTCACATTTAGAGTGCATTCAAAGTTTGAGAAGTAAGTACCCTTACCAGTCAGAGAGGGATGCGAAAGAGCCTCCATAGTAAAGTTGTATGTGTTGGCCGGGTTGAAGAGCTTCGTGTCTGGTGGCTGTATGAATGACGGCGGGTGTGGTGGTGGCGTGCACTCCTCAGCATCAGCAGAGCTGCCGCGAGACGGCGGACCTCCTCCCTGAGGAACGACACAAGTAGGCATAAAACTCCCATCCATATTTTTAATCTATGCCCATATGTTGTTTAGCAAGTAACGCGATATCCAATTGTATAAATAGTCCTGACGTATTTGTAGGCTTTTTATTTGTTCATTTCTTAGTAGAAACCGAATCCGAAACCTTACAGGAAGCTGACGGTTCTACGCAGTTCGGTATTCGATACAACATTATTTACTATCTCGGATGAGCCAGTAATAACATTTAAAATATGCTCGACTGTAACAAAATGAAAAATGAAAATCGTTCTCCCAAAGCGGTATTACAAGAAGGCGTTATTAACAGAAGTCTGTAGGAGTCGTCAACTATTAGAAGCTACACCAATTTAACTTCCAAATAACTAAAGTTTCGTCCTAATAAAAATATAGGCCCTTCTGCGCAAATGAGATCTTATTTTTGTGAACATTTTTATTTTAAAAGGTTTGTTTTCTCTGGAATTGCGTGTTTTTTTCTTGACTTTAATATGGTATTCGCTCGAAGTTTCTTTAAGTGGGTGGAATTTGAAGTAATTGCTGATATTTTTAGTTGTTTCGATTATTTTACTTTTACTTTACATGGGTTTTATATGGAAGAAGTTAATTTAACGACATTGCTACTTCATTTCGATGTCGGACTCAGGTAAACATTTTCCAAGAAGCACGAACCGTTTATGGAATGCCCAAAAATATCTATATGGAAGTTTCTAGACGAACTAAAAGCCAAGGTCCCTAATTCTGTGTGTCATTAGGCCACGAGACAATGTTATCGCCTGTCGCGAATACCCGACACTCTGCACTTGACACCATCGAGTTCCGGGTACAAATTCTAGTGTCTAGCGCTAATACCACGTACTGTCTGCACTTAGACGGGACAATTGTTTATGGTATTGCCATGGAGGCTACAAGGTTACTCTTTGGTATTGTGAACGATGGAACTGGCTGTATTTCTAATGGATTGTGTTGATAGGTACTTAAGCAAGTGCTTAATATGAGACGTGACAATAAGCAAATACCAAATTCTTGGCTCCTGGAATCTGTAGTCTTGATCCCATGTCATTTCGTTCTAAACGATGAAGTGTTGACTAATAAATAAACTGATATGTTTTATCAGTTGCAAATCTTTACTAATTATTTTCCAGTCAAAGTGTTCTAAACGTGTTAAAATATAAATACTTAATTGTAGGTACTGTAGGTTTGCACTAAAGGAATGTTGAGCTGGTAAAATAATGATAGTTAAAACTGTCCAGTGGAAAGATATTGTTTGAACTCAATTATTGATTTAGTAATCGATCGATTCTGTGAATAAACATTCATAGAATGTGTTAAGCAAGTTCTATACACGTAACACGATAATAATGCTTATTTATTACTTTTACATGTATGTATTTTATTGTATTACTCAGACATTGAAGTATTTTGCATGATTTGCTGTTTAACTTCAATTAATCGAATGATACCCGAAATTGTGCAAGGTTTTAATGCACTAGTAATCGACATGACATGTTTAATCTTTGGAGAAAATTTATGCATTTTCAAGAGATGGGGAGTCTGAATGAAATTGTATGGATTCCCGTGTTTCTACATAGTGATCTGAATTTTCATACTATTGTGTTTTTCTTCAGTATTTTCATGAGAAACTAAGATTTCCCTGTGTTCCAATTTACTTGAACATCTGCTTTTGATTGTTATAATAATGTTGTGAGAAACATGTACTTATTTCGCGCAGTTGTATCTAAAATTGTTTTAAATTTTCATATTATTATATTTTGGGTTGGCCTTGTAGCGACATTAAGAATGAGGGTATTGGTTTTCAATTACTTGGAGATTTGTTAAACAATTGGACACGAAAACGTTTCATATTTGTAGTACTTGTACCCTTGGGAAACTTGGCAGTGCGTTTTGTTATAGTCTAGAACATTTATTACAGCCGCTCATCCACTACTTCAAATCAACTTCAACGATTGATCTCACCTAGCAACATAAACGTGACGTCATTACAATGTTATACTTAGATACAGACTATATTGTACAGGGAACCGATCCCAATATCCTCCAATTCTCCATGGCACCTATAAATAACAAAATGGGTGACTTTTACCAACTCACAAGTGGTCTGTGGTGATGCGGCGGCGTGTCGTCCGTGCTCCGATCGATGTCCGGGTTGGATGGGCAGATCATGTCGATGGGCTCGTTCTTCACATCGTCCATGAGCCGCGGAGACGGTGAGGAGCTGCTGTTGGAGATGCCATTCCCGTTGTTGCCCGACTCGTTGTGGGCACGAGCGTGGGTGTTGTTCTTCGTAGAGAAGTCGTGAATCTGGGGCTGTTCATTATTATTGTCGTGACGCGGACGCTTGATGACGTCAGGGCTGTTGTCGGCCGAGCGGCTGAGCCGGCGCGGCGGCAGCGGCGTGCGGCGCATGAGCTGCTGCACGCTGGAGCTGGTCGGCTGCAGCAGGGCCTCCTCCAGGCGGTCGTAGGAGGGCGTGTGGCTGATGTGCGTGCTGTGAGCGGAGTGTGGTGGCGTGTGCGGCGATGTCGTGGATGGGGCGCGTGCTGGCTGCATCAGGGGCTGCAGGGAGAGCGGCAGTTAGGAACTGAGCTTATAATACTCAGTAATGTTTACCTCTGGACTTTAGTACAAGTGTCTTATTTATCTTTTTATAAACGACTCTGTTCGAATCTAAATGTCTACTTCTCAAAATTGATACAACAGTATCCATTTACACGGTTCCATACCACCTAAAACTATTGACTCTCTAATTAACTGAACTATGTATACAAATTAAACCAAACTTACCCCCTGTGCATTATCATTGTGCGTGAGTCCGGAGACGCGCAGCACCTCAGCTGTCTTCAGGAAGGAGGAGAGACTCCTCTGGTGGACGTTCACCTCGCCATGGTAGATGAACTCCACCAGCGCGTGCAGGTCCGTGAACGCCACGTCTTGCAGGACTATCACTGGGTGCTTGCATGGCGTTGACTGTAGAACGACACACATTTGAGTATGATTGTCGAAGTTATTGGGAAATAAGATATTAAAATGATTACAATATAAAACTGTCTATGTTTTAACCATATAACGTAGGTAAGTGATTCATATTTATGGTTTCATTTAGAGTTTAAAACAATATGCAATCTTTAAAAATTAAAGTTAAAATAGTGTAAAACCTCTTTGGTCTCTTTCCATTTCAAAATTAGAACGTAACATGATAAAACAAATACACGTGTAGAGCATAGAACAATGTCGGACCTCGGAGTAGCAAAATGATTCTATCAAAAATCCTAAAATAACTTCGTTTAAAATATTATACAGCTATCAGATAAATAAACAAAAAACTCAATTACTATGGAATGGATATAAAATATTCAGTAGCGGAACTGTGCCGACTGTTTTAACCCACTCTGCTATTTATTGGGTGTGGTAACACTGGCCGTTTGGATTATAGGCGGGAAACAGATTAAAAAGAATAAAATATAGAACGTTCGTTTGAAAATAATTGCGTTTGTCGATATGTGAAGCTAGAGATTATTGTATTATGTAGATAATAATTTTGTTTTATTTTTAGACAATAGATGTCACATTGGCTTGAAATGTGTTTTTTAGTATTTCTAGATTATAGTGTATAGTAACTGTAAACTTGATTCGTTAATGTTACCTACTCTGTCTATCTCATTTGGTATTATGACGTCGTTATGTTACGTTTCATATTCATGCCATTGTATTGTATCTTGGAATTAATTCTTTATGTCGATAAGTTACGTAGCTGAAAACATACTTGTATTTCTATTTATTCACTTATTTCGTTTCATTACATTTAAGTTTTGTAGAAAAAAAATTAAATTCATGTTACATGTATTACTATGAACTATGTGACTATGAACTTAGGAATTTATAACTTTATTTTATTTTTTTATTTGACGAAGCAATAACGAATCAATGAAGTCACACTAAAATTATTATTTGTTGAAAACTCTTCATATTTCATTTTATACGCATCATAAGATTACTAAGTTAACCTTAGATATCGGTCGTTAATTTCGACCACGTCTGTCAAGTCAGGTTGGCCGAGTGGTCTAAGGCGCCAGATTTAAGCTCTGGTTCCCGAGAGGGAGCGTGGGTTCGAACCCCACACCTGACAAATGTTCTTTTTCACTTTTTTTGTAGTGCTCAAATTATTTTCTTGTTTTTTTAAAGTTTTTTTTTGTAATTTTTTTATTATTTTATATGAATAATTAATGTAAACATGTTTTTATTACTTGTTTTTTTTTCAATGAATGGTATGGTTTTTCTTTATAGAACTAAAAAAACGTTTTATTTAATTTTACTTTACTATCGGTAAATTTTATTACCGCTATAAATTAATATTTAATAATACAATGCGCGCCACCTAGCGGCCGGTGCGCGCAACATGCAATGACGTCAAAAGAGCCGTTTCAGGAATGTAATCTTAGTCGGTGCATTAATTAATTTCGTTTGGCTTGAAACGTCTTTATTGTGTGGTTTATTGCTTGCTTGCTTATCGTGGGGTAGGCAGATTTATATGACTTTAGTAAGTTAGCGACCTATATATTCACTTAAATAATAGAAGTCGAAGATATATGCCACGACACATTTTTGATTTTTATTACGTGAAACCTGACATTTTTGAAGCAAATTTTTTGTACTTCTTTTTTGTTCCTCATCATAAAAATCGTCTGTGTGTGAAGGAAATCCTTAATAATGTCAATAAAACATTTTTTATTCGATATTCATAAAATCGATTCTATTTCAGAGATTTTAGTTCAATTCAGTTTATTAATTTCAACCATTTTAACCGACTTCAAAGAAAGAGGTTTATGTATGTATGTATGTATGTTTGTGCGGGATTACCTCGCGATTGGCCTAACCGATTATGATGCGGTTTTCAGAATAGTGTTTGTGACACTTAGGAGAGCCGCATAGTATATTAATTATTAGGGATTAAGTCAGGTTTTTTAATCAAAGTTTTTCAAACAAAGAATTATTAAATATATAAACTATATATTTTTTAATTCTCACCTTTAAAAGCTCCCTAAAATAAGGGCTGCAGGCTGACAGGACAACTCGATGTGCCTTCAGACTCTTGCCATCACAGGCCAGGGTGACGTCCACGAAGTCCTCATCATCTCGAAGGTTCTCGAAGGCGCTTGTGATGCTGCTCTGGTAATTGTTCCAGCGCAGGCAGAAATGCTGTGTGTCCACCATTTTGACGGCTATGGATTCATGTGTGATGTGATCTGGAAGATTAAGGATATTTTAGTTTTTTTATTAGTAAAAAGGGCTTTTTAATAGTATGTTCAAATAAATTATTTAGATTTTACAGTACAATTAAATATAGAAAAATAGTTACACTTTCATTCATTGATTTGACGATATACTTAATTTTCGATTTATTCTAGCATTTTCTTCAGATATATCTGTGCTATTTGACGCGAAAATATGATGACGTCATAAGCTGGTATTTCGTACAAAATTCATAGAACAGTATCGTTTTTGACGTTTCGATAATAGTATTGAATTTGACTAGTTGTCAACTACCGTATTGTTTATTTTAGGTGGATTAATCAGCTCATGAGTAAGTATTGGTTTTTCAGAATAAATGATTATATTACATTTCATGGTTATTTAATTAAAATATGCAGGTCGTTCAATTGTTCTTTATACAAGCTTTCATTCAGTTGCACCGGCACTGTTGTCTATAATCAAACAATAACACTTATGGTTTTTTTATTTGATTATTAAGCAAGTATTTTGTTTTAAGAATTTTCACTTGTTTATTTACAAGCCTTTAACTGTTATACAGCGTGGAAATGTTATTGTAACGGTTTTTCAGTATGTACAAAACATTCGTTACTGGTTTCAGAGAAAAAATTGTCAAAGCATTTATTTCAATTACGGAAAATACTAGTAATTTTATAGTTTTAACTGGAGAGTTTAGTGGTTGTACTAAATACAATCCGTTTTTCATATAGTTACGTTTTATACGTTCTTTGATTATTGCCTATTTGTTTATGTGAAGAGATATGAAGAATATAGAAAGGATTGAATAATATTTGATAAGTCACTACATAGTATTAAACAAAGACGCTATCCGCCGTCTGTCTGTCCCTATGTATGCTTAAACTATGCAACGGATTTTGATGAGGTTTTTTTTAATAGATAGAGTGATTCTTAAAGAAGGTTTATATGTATAATACATGTGTACTGCACCCGTGCGAAGCCGAGCGCGGATCGCTAGTTTACCTATAACTCAAAGACTATGCAAATTGAAAATAATAATTTTGAAAATCGAGTTTTCATATTTTATCCGAGTACATATCGATTCAGAAATATTTTTTTTCAGTTTAAATGATGATTTTAGCTACGTATTTTTATTTTGCCGTACATTATGTACCTACACATACAAATCTACGTACTATGCAGACAGCCAATTAAAATAGATATACATAACAAGAACATATTATAAATAACGTAATGGAGATTACAAAAAATGGGTCAAAAGTGATAAAAACTTTTTTCTCATGTACCTAAGTGTCAGGCAACAATATTATTTTATTAATGGCTGCCCTATATTTTTTAAATAATTGCAATTACCCCTATTGTGAAGATAATGCGTGAGTTATGAGGTCCAGTTACATTGTTATTGTTTTGAAAATTGTATGTTATGTAGAAACGTGAATCTTAAGATTGGCCTTAATATTGATTTTGAATAAGAGATTTACTTATATATAACACATTGTACTATTTAATGCTAGTATATAATCTAATTTTCTGGGCTTTTTTTTAAGGGGGGAAAATCATCGAATGACTGCTCCCACCTGGCGCTGGCACTGAGGCGGGGGGGAGTGTAAAAACCACCCCGTTCCTACTCCTGCACTTCGAGCCGGAGCCCCGGTAACCTAGTGCTCGTATTTATAACAAATTAACTAAGATATTTATTTACATTTAAGATCAAAACGTAAGCTGAAACCGCTCACAGAGGCAATTAGCAACCTCTTGTAAGAGTGCTTATTAATATAGTCACCAACGCATAATGAAAGAGAATTACTGCTCATTCTAATATCTCTGAATACACCAAGAGTAGCGCATTTTACATTACCTACATATTAATTTTTCTTCAAGTACCTATTGTGTTCCAAATTCAAAGAGTTGTATTCGAAAAAAAGAAAGAACATCATTTGAAAAGGTTGAACAACAAAAAAGGTTTCGATTCCTCTATAGTCTATTGTTCGGTTTTCTTTTACCTTTCAAACAAAAGTTTCATGTTTGGATGTTGTTTTAATTTTTTTTTTAGTATAATTATTTAGGCTTCCCGACTTTGCCGCAAGTTTTGAACTTCTCAGTTTTGTTGAGACAAAAAATATTGAGAACTAATATTTGTATGGTTTCATATTATTTCGTTTTTCCATGAATTGAGAACGGGAGCAAGGTTCTGATTGCTTGTTCTATTGTCGTTTAGTTCGGGGAAAATACACAGTTTCCTAAACACAAATGTTATGGCCTTAATTTTTTGAAAAGCTATACTGGAGCATTATTTATTAATCTTGTTTTGTATAGCGTACCCTAAAGTGGACGAAACAATGTTTTGTTTATTTACTCGTTTCCTAGTAATTTCATTGAGCTACAATACGTTTCACAGTAGCATTACTTATTTTTCTAAAAGTATACTTGCCATGGCATAACAACTCTAAAGACCTACCTATGTTAGGAAACTATTCATACCATAAACTTTCCCGCCGATGCACCGAGGTAGAATAAAACTCAACTTTTTTTATTTACTGTTAGCTGCGCTAGACGTCCTTTGATCACAGGTTTCTAAATAAAAAGGTAAAGGCTAACTCTAAATAAGCACTAAGTATCTATTTAATACCATATTTTTCTTAAGTTTTCATATGATGAAAATACAAAAAGAATTATTTTCATTCAGACATCAAGTTTGGCTTATGCTTGGTACAATAATGTGTTACATTTCTTTGATGAACTGTCTTTTATTAATTTGAATTTGAAAAATAACCACAAAATGGTTTTATCACCTATAATGAACCACTAATTTGATTATACGTGCTCCAAAAGAAAGAGTTTTATAATCTACACTCATCACAAATCCCGCCAAAAAAAACAAGATGGCCGAATAAAATGGTTGCCCCCTTCCCGCCAACATAGAAACAGTTATATAAAACATTGCATTATCTTGCATACACTATCTAGTGTTTCGATATAGTATTAAAAATATTTCTTATCATTGATAACGACTTAGAAAAACTATGATTAGGGAGGTATTAGTTGCATTATCTTAACGCTTGCCTGCACGGGGCGTATACATGACGATAACAACTATTTTCCCGATAATATTTGAAATTTTTCAATTGCGGATTTACGTTGCACTCATGAATTTTGTCAGATCATTGTCCAACATGTCCAATAGTCATGTCATCGATAGTAAAATGATGCATTATTTTTGCTGACTATCACAGTGTCTTAAAGTTATTGGACTTTTTTATGTTTTGATTTTAATATTATAATAATTAAAAGGAATGATGAAGTTTTGTTCCAAGTGATTAACTGCATTTGTTTTTTTTTATCAATTATTACATTAAAACAGGATAATCATATTTTAATCTGTGTATAGTCGACTGTCAAGTCTATACGTCACGGCTAAATACAAAATATTTTACTTTGACACGTATTTTTTTATCAAATTCTAATCATTAATTATTAAAGGACACCAATTAAATATTATTAATTAAATTCGTTTAGGGAAATCCTTTGTGTTGAAGGAAAATATGCCTTACCTACATATATTTAGCCTTATTCAGTCCTGTTTTTGGTAAAACTTAAAAAAAATTGACTAAAATGCTTTTCACAAATATTCTCATGAAGAATCCCCCTGCTTCACCTTTCCCTGCCCTCTATTTCTCACTAGCACATTTCTTACATTCAAGAGAACCAATTTAACTAACAATCACCTAACCTCACAATCACTCTTATATCATTACACACAAGGGTCATTTCAGGTTTTCATGATAGCAAAATTAAGTGTGTATGACACGTAAGTTTGAAAACAAAAGTTAGACAATAAGAATGAAAGACGGTTGCATATTAGCTGACAATGATAGGTAATCGAGTTACCTGTTGGCATGCACTTCGAAGGAAAACAAGGGTATTGACATTAACTGGCTAGTGGCTAGATTGCATATGCCATGTTACTGAAAATTGTATCTAATTTATGTTGCATAGGTATCTAATTTGAGTTTCAGTTAAAGGTAATTATGACCTTTAGTTAGTGTCAGATTTTTTGGTTGTCAAATTTTTTTTACTTTTTTTTTATTATATGTAAAAGTAATTTTCGAGTAATAGTTAATTATTTAAATAATTATTATTTTTATAATGTCTTCGGTGTATAGTAATTAAATACTTATACATTTTCAATGTTCACAATTAAAAATAGTTTGTCCTGGAAATTTTACGAATCCTAAGTTTACAATTTAAAAGGAAGGAAATATTCATTCATTTCCTTCATTGGCTTTAATTTAAAATTAAATTGAATGCACTAAATAAGGGAAGATAAAAAACGAATATACCTCTAATATAAGTAGTTATTGTAAAGTCATACAAAAGTATGTAAACTTAAAAATACTGGTATAAGCTCCATTTGTGGTTTGAAACTAGTTGAACATACTCAAACTTTTCGTTATTTGAGTAAGTTGTTCATAAAATATAATAAAATGTTACCATAATTATGTAGGAGACATATGCCAGAATACTGAGACGTTACTCAATTTTAAGTCGTGCTCAAATATCGTGCCATCTCTGTCATTTTACAAAGAATTGGTGGTGACAGAACTATACTTAAGCGCAACTTAAAATTGAGTAGCGTTTCAGTATTCCGACAATACCGACATAATATTATACTTATATTGAATTAATATATAATAATTATATTGAAAAACAAAAGCCTATCCCCATACGGAAAAATGTATGAGAATTGTTCACTAAGTATGCTCAAGGCTGCAACTGATATAGCGTATACAGACTCACATTAATACAAATTAATAATAAATTATAATTATTTTTAATTTACCTTCCTATAATATCTATTTACTTATAGAAAACATACATTTATGTAATGTGAAAAATATTACAATTTAATTAAAACAAATAATTCTGAACTATTCCAATTTATGTTGCATAAATGAAACACATGG